CAAAGGAAAACGTTTTTTCTGGGAGCCTTCTGCTATCTTTTTACGAGTGGAGACATTATCAGTGTGTAAACCACTTTCGCCAAACTCTGTGCTGTTATCGTCCTTTTCTTTAGGAGGACGTTGCCACGACGAACCCGAGGGAAAGATAAACTTTTTTTTTTTTTTAATCCTGGCTGCAGACAGCTTATCATGGAGCTAGGAATTCCTCCGCGCCAAAACACAAATAAAGCTCACTAACACTGAGGGCACCAGTCAAAGTAATATTTGTTGTATTGAGGTTTTGAGAGCGACAAGCTAAAACGCCCTCATATGGCACTGATGTATCCATCACATGAGTATGATTTTTCCAGTGCAAACGTACTGCAATGTCTACGTTCTTCTTGTGGACTGCAAGGTCTGCACTCTGCAGAGCCCGTTTCGATCTGGATACCTCGGCAAAAACTCACCTCACGAGTGCACTCGCTCACTTCACTCACTCTCACCGATCAGGCTTGAGTTCAGGGTGAGTGAGTTTGTAAGCCTCGAAAACTTATGAGTTTCAAGTTGAGTGAGGGGCGTGAGGTCGGTGAGTTCATGAGTTCGGTGAGGGACGTGAGTCCATGAGTTTGGCGAGGCATGAGGTGCCCGAGGGGACATGGGTTCGCTGAGGGTTGGCAGGGTGACGTCGAGAAAGGGCGGGTCGTGTGACTTCTCCGTACATGTCTGGTGAAGTTGAGTCGACTCTTATCTCCGCTCTTTGGGTCCGGCTCACTTCGCGGCGGCTTGGCGTGGTCTTTTGCTGCTGGTCGCTGCTTCGTGGCGAGTGACGAGAGAGGGGGCGGGGCTCTCGCGCTCGCCTCGGCCGCTGCCGTGTAGACTGCGCGGTGCCGATATACGCCAGATGTTTTGTTGTAGTGCGAGGAAGGAAAATGGGCACTACGCCGGTACGTCTAAAGGCACAAGTTGTTATGTCGAGTGCGGTCGTGGTCACTAGTCCAGAAGCCAAAATTGAATCAAAAGCCGGCTGGGAATTGTCACGATTCGCCTATATACTTGTTTGTTCGAAGTGTAACCTAAACTTTTGAATAAAAAATTTTAAAAAAAAGTACGCGTGCTTGAGCACGCCCGAAACGACGGACTTGTTCACAATTGATTTTAAAGACTGCGACAATTTTTTGGTAACAGATAAACTTTAATGCGATTGTTCATTGTCATCAAATAATTGCTGAATATAGTTTTCTAGACTTCATTCAAACAGATATGCGATCTTCTACTTTCACTTAATATTGATTTATTTATTTATTTCGTAATACTATCAGTCCCCCAGTGGGGACTATGATAGGAGTGAGTACAAAAAACAATAGACAGTGTAATAGACATGCAGAACACAATGACAAAAATAAAGGACTTTACACCTATACTCATATCAAATAGCACTAGAAGTACAACAAAATGATAACATGAGGTCTATTGGTTATATGGGAGGCACATTACAAAATCCGAAACCGTTTTGGATTTAACAACGCTTTGAGGCAGTTTATTCCACTCACTTATCGTTCGAGGGAAATAAGAATTCTTGAAACATTCTTTGTTGAATCTGTGCTCTTCGGTTGGTCCGAGTATGCTTATTACGTGTGATTGTATATAGATGGGGTTTTATGAATTTGTGTTTATCAATCTGCAGTGTACCATTTAAAATCATGAAAATCATTTTTAAACGCCTATTTTTTCTCCCCTCTTCTAATAAGGAGAGACTTGCCTTAAAAAACAGCTCAGTTGGTGAATTCAGTCTTTTGTACTTCAAAAAAAATGAAACGTAGTGCCATTTTTTTTTTTTTCTAAATTCAATATTAAATCTTTTGCGTGAGGATTCCAAACTTCACTAGCATACTCCAATTTATGTCTTATCGCATTTTATAAGCTAGTAGTTTAAGTTCAGTGGTTGCTATTTTTAATGATTTTCTTAGTGATCAGGGTTTAGCTGTGGCTTTCTTGATTATATTATTAACATGTTTGTTCGAACTTAAATCACTGGATATTGTTACTGCTGTTGTTACTAATTCATGCTGTTTTTTTATCGAATACAGTGTAGGTATCTAAAAACATCCTTATATGCTTCAAAACAACATGCTCAAGTATTTTACAAGTAGAGATTAATGATATCGGTCTATAATTAGACCTTACTAGCATTTCCAGTCTTAAGAATAGGTATTATTTTGGCCAGCTTCCAGTCATTGGGAACGAAACCATCTGAAAGCGATTTATTAAAAATGATCGTAAGATATTTTGAACACCATTCGCTACACCTCAGGAATTGGATATCAATCTCATCCGGTCCGGCGGCTTTCTTTGGAACGATAAGAAGTAGCCGTGAAAAAATTCCCTCCTCTGAGACCTCCACGTCTTCGATTGGGGGCACGTTCTCAAACAAACAAAATGTTGGTAAAATGTTATTATCAGCGGAAAAAATACTGACAAAATATTGTTTAAAGCAAATTGCAATTTCAGTCTTGTCTTGAATCACTTCTTCTACTATCACTTTGGTAATTACTTTTTACTTGGTTTCGATTGTCGCCAAAACTTCTGCGGTGAATATCTCAAAAAGTTTTGCATGTTTACATTAAAGAAAATCGTTTTCGAAGTTTTTATCTTTGCTTTGAGCTCTTTTCTCAATAACTCTATTTTTGCCTGCTGAAACCCGTCGTGTTTTTTTGGCGTGCTCTTGCTCTACACCTTGATAATCGTCTTTTGTGGTGGATTATGTCCCTTGTAATCCAAGGACTGTTCAAGTTTTTCTTTCTTCTTTCCACTGGGACAAACTTACGAGTGCGTTCAAATACCATTTCCATAAAATTGAGCCACAATCATGTGAACTACGTTTGTACAGAAGCTTACAAAAGGCACCGTTTCTAAGAAGGCATCTACGGCATGCTAATAGGGATAAAAAGACTAAGTGCGCAGGCGAGCTGGCGCTAGTTAATCATTTCGTTTAACACCTGAGACTGTGGTGCAGAAAAAGAAAAAAAAACTTTTAGTCAAAGCAACGGACACAGAAGGGAACGTCTCAAACTCAGATGATTTATTTTTCAAACATCCTATATATACCCACAGAGCTACTCTCAACCATCTTCTACGCGTAGATCTTCTTTGTTCAAAGTGGTTTCAACAAAGAGATCTGTGCGCATAGGTGGTTGAGAGTTCGTGTGTGGGTATATATAGGGTGTCACAAGTCACCAGGCTCGATCTAAAATGGATCGTAAAAATCGACGCCTGCACGTAGCAATCTAAACTTTTTGTCAAAGCTGTATTTCACAGGTCGTTTTTTTCTTGTAAAATTGGAAAGCGTAGCACCCTTTCTGTAAAAAATAGGGCCAAGAAATTTGCCAGGGTCAACGGCGGGCGGCGACGCACACGACCAAGTGGAGTTGCGGGGCGCGTTTGGCGCTCGTATTGATAGATGGCGCTACCTCCTTATGAAGGCTGCTCGAGACCACCGTGGTTTATTAACTTGAACATAACCTTTTTGTAATAGGTACCTTTGGTTAAATAATAAATGAAGATAATAAAAGCAATACTTAAAGTTGAAAAAAAAAAAAGTCGTTTGCATAACGACGGCGCTCACCGGATTTCGTCTGCGTGTCCTCTGCTTTCTTTCGCTGGTCGGCTACACCTTCCGACGCCTGCTCCCGACGCCATCTATCAATACACGCGCCAAACGCGTCCAGCAACTCGACTTGGTCGTCTGCGTCGCCGCCCGCCGTTTGATCCTGGCAAGTTTTTTGGCCATATTTTTTTTTAAAGAAAGGGAGTTACGCTCAGTAATTTTACAAGAAAAAACCGACCTGTGAAATACACCTTTGACGAAATGTTTAGATTACTACGTGCAGGCGTCGGTTTTTACGGTTCATTTTAGATCGAGCCTGGTGACTTGGGACACCCTATGTATATGATGCTTGAGAAATACATCAGCTAGCTGAGTTTAAGACGTTCCCTTCTGTGTATGTTCCTTCGACTAAACGTTTATTTTTTTTTTCCCTTTTCTGCACTACGGTTTACCCTTTGGGCACCTCGTGCGTTTGTTTACCCCCCGATGCCTCCACGTGTTGTTTTCTTTTTTTTTCCCAACAGACTTTAATTAATGACTGCGGGTGCTTGGATGGCTCGATTATTGTGTGTTCCCTTGAGCGTTATCATACGTTACCGTTTGATTGGCCTGCCCCTCCTTGCGTTCCGATGCGCCAAAAAAGCCTTTTGAAGCACTTGCATGCCGTATAGCCACAAACAGCCTAGACGACGCTATTAATCATTTTACAAAAAAAAAAAAATTAATTTATTTTGTAATATTTATGACTTTTCTAGGCTGTTTAACAGTGTTTCATTTTCTTTTAAACTCTTTTAAAGCTATCAGTCACTATAATCATCACGTAAAGCTTAACTCAAACATACGCACCAATGTTCGCGGTTCAGTATTTCCTAAAGCGCTACAATTTAACACCGAGATAAACGAGTGAAAGAGTCGCGCTAGAACGTCCTTATCTAATCACGGGACTCCCTGCCTTGAGGTCGGAAACATATGTGAGGTAGTTTTTCTATTATATATATCTCGCTTTGGCAGGCAGGCGACGGCGTAACAGAAGTCCCTCGACTGGCGCTTTGCTAAGTAGCGACAGCGATTGATGTGCCTACGCGCTCTCCCATTGTTCCGTGCCCGCGTTCCGCAATTCCGGTTTGGAAAAACATGGCGGATTTGCCTCAACCTCATTCTCGAGTAACAGTTTGGTACCTTGACGTCCGAAAACCTACCCGCGTTTAGCGTTCTTCTATTTGGATTGTCACGTGACATTACCCACCGGAGTAACTCGGAAGATTTCGAACACGGCCGAAAAACATGGCGGACCGCGCGCTAGCAGACGACATGAGCGAGGGGAGGAGGGCTTGTCGCTACCTCGCATAGCGTTATCTAGGGTAGGTGGAATCATCCGCTCGTACGCAGCTGCGTTTTATTTTTCTCTCTATCTCTCTTTAGTTTTATTACTTTTCGAGGGCGAGCGGAGCGAACGAGACTAGTAGGGCAGGCCCAGCTCTGACGTTGTCGAACAGTCCACATCCGCCGGCGAAATTTCTCTGTCGCGTTCGGCGCAGCGTACCGTTCATTTAGAGTTTCCGCACGCGACGGTAAGGCCGAGATGCGTCCTATCGGTCTCGCTAACCTTCTCGCTTCCAAGAGCGTAGCGAAAACTCGGACGGCGAAACTCGCTTCGCGACTCAAGTCCAACTTTCACCAACCGTTGTCCGGGAATGACTGCCCACGTCCAGGAGGCATCGCCACCTTCATGCGTCTCCCGTTCGCGACAACCGCGCACGGTAAGTCCCTTTCCATTTCCGCAGGATCTTCCGAGATCGATGCTTTTGCAGATTCGATAACATCGATAGGACAGTTGCCAGTCGCCGCCCTCAATACGCGATGGCACGGTTTTTCCCGAGACATGTTAAAGGTGTATTCACACGGCGAACTTGTCCCCGGACAACCTCCTACGAAATCAGTGACGTCACATTTCTTGCGGTTCTAAATCCGCCATGATCCAGGCGAAGAAAGCATGCAAAACTCAAGAGCTGGTCCGCGTAACCATAGGAACGTGTCCGGGGACAAGTCCGCAGACCTGTGGAATGTTGCGTATCACGTGGGCAAACGTCATGAAATAGGTCCGCGGACCTGTTGTACCATGGTCATTGAGATTTTAAACCCGTTCTAATGTCGCTTTTTTCTGGTCCTGCAAAGTCCGTGTCAGGTCCGAAGACTCGGCTAACTCAGAAGGAACCTTTTTAAAACTTTGGTTTGGGCTAGTTGGTTCATGGTAGGCATAAGGTTTAAAAGCGAAAACAGACAGGGACGATAGGAAATAACATAAGCGCCTGCCCCTGTCGTTTGTGTTATTTCCAATCGTCCCTGCCTGTTCGCGCTTTTAAATCTTATACCTATCAGAAGGAATCAAACACGCCAAACTGCTCGAGCGACAACTGGCTGTACAAGCCGTCTTTTTTTTTTCTTCTTTTTTTTTTTCGCGGACCATTTTAGCGTTGGTTTACATGGCTGTTCTTTGGCTGTGCTTTATGAAACAGTTGACAGAAGCTGACACATCATTGAACCGAATGTGTTTATACGTTCTTTCTCGTAATTACTGTTATACGTTCCTGCTGCATGTAAAAGAAGTGTAAAAAATACGATGTTTTACGGCCTGTTTATTGCAAGATGCACATATAGTTCTTAACATTTCAAAACAGGAACCCAAATCGACGAAAGCAAACACCAATTCAAAATGTATTAAATACAGAAAGAAATGTAGTAAAATACCCAAGCGATGTCATAATACGTGTGTATGCAAGCCCATAGTCAGATGTAACAATGAGCGCCGATACCACAACGCGGAATCGTGGGGTCATACTTGCTATGCAATGAAGTGTACTTTGTCTCATCCTACGATGGACTAAAGGCCAAAGCCCCGGGCCACCATGTCCAATCACATTTCACGCTATACTATGACACGCTTAACATTGATTAGGGGTGGACGAATAACGTTTGAATCCAAAAGCGCCGCATCATTTCCATAGCTTCGACGCTGCAAAATAAAGAGCGTATATATGTCGTGGCTTCCTTTGCGATGTAAAATTGTTGAGTCACTCAGTGGTCTTCGATTCGAACCACTGTCCACCCGTCCCCTCATCAGCGGTACGTGCATCGAAGCGAAATAGCGCACAATTTCTAAGTGGCTCGTGTTTGGATCTGGCGGTCCGTAGCTTTTGCCTTTAGTCCATCGTAGGGTGAGACGAAGTATAGTAAAACGTGGAATATACATTTTATTTCGGCAAAAAGATTCATGGTGCTTAGATTTCTTTTCCTATTTCGATATATTCGACGATTATTGGATTATTAATCTCGATTTCTCGAATAGATATTTATTTTCAATTATATATTCTGAGTTTTTTTGTTTTTTTTTTTTTTTTGATAAATGCGAATTGACGGAAAATTTACCGGCGAGTGTTGTTCGAATTTTTTTCGGATTTATCCGAGAACACGGAACCCTACCTATAAGCGGAAAATAGGGAGTTTTCGTAGACCGCGTTCCCCCCTCCGCTAAGTCTTCCGCAGCCAAGGCGATCGGGCTGCGCGCCGATCGCCTTGGCTGCAGAGTTCCGGGTGTCGGTTGCGGAGAGCGCTGCGTGAAGACGAAAACAATCCACGAAAACTCCCTAATACCGCAGCAAGCGCCAAAGACGCGTTTGGGCTGACTCGTTCGCACTCGCAAACGACCGAACGAAGTTTCACGCCAGAAATTTGAAACCATCAAATGATATTGGATGCAAATAGTATTAACTGCGCACCACTTACGATAATTACCGCATGAGGACAGGCACTTCGTGGGTTTCGCGCGTAAACTGAATCGTGAAGAAAAAGAGACAAAAGCGTGATTTCAGCGGTGAAATTTCAGAAACAATAGCAGCGGAAACAATAGCAGACTATTGTGTTTTTTTTTCATATTTCGGTAGGAATTCAATTACTGTAAATTGACTGAAGTAATTGTAGTTGTAATTAATTACTTATTTTATACAGAGTTATTGAAAAATTTGAATTACAATTACAGGTACTTGTTTCGTGATTGTTTCACGCTGGAGCTTCTTTTTCTAGAGTCACTGACAGGCAAAAATACACTGAGCGTTGTCTGCCTCCTTGCCCTTCTGCCAACTCATGGGGCTTTGAAAGCACCGAGGCTGCGCACCGATGGGGTACTGTCGGAGCCAGCACACCCGCAGAGGTGTATACAGAAGAGCCCCCCCCCCCCCCCCCCCATACGTGAAGCGAGACTGTTTTCAATTCTCAAGAATAAGATAAAAAAAAAAAAAGATTATGCGATTACGATGTGTATCTTGAAATTTGACTATCGTATCATGACTCATGTGGACCATTTCTTCTGTTTACTGATAATTTGAGTCTCTATTAGATGTTGTAGTGACTCTTAATACTAATAAATCTATTTCAATTTGAACTGCCATGATAAATAGAACACTACAATAATGATGGCGTCGCAAAAAAAAAAAAAAAAAAATACAACTGGCTCCCATCGCACTCGGACCTCAGACCCCACATTATACCACCAATGAAGTAGGTGAAACAAAGGCACAAACTGTAATGAATGTAAAACACCGTATACGTACTGAATCATCGGTAAGGGAAGGAATAGACGAATACAACTCAAAGAGAAAAAGGGCTATCACATCATTGAAGTCGGGTCGCTCTTAAAGGAAAGTAGTTGCGAAGTAATTGCATTGCTTTCTGCAATCAATGTATGACTAATTTTAGAGCGCAGTAGTGGTAATTTTGACTAAATTGCGCTTAATTTATATAAGCATGTTTCGGTAAGCTCTCTGACACTTTATCGCAATCAGCCGGGTTTCAAACGATACTGGGCACGTCACGACCGTGCACGGTTCACGGGTGGAACTCGAGCACTCCGGCACTGGTTGTTCAGTGAAATACCACTGCATCACTGCAACTCATGAAATAGGAACTATGGTCACCGACACGATAAGAAGGGCAGAGATGTCTTTAGTTCTCGACTGCACGCACGAAGTTGAGAGGGATGTCCAGGACAGCCTTGCAGCGTTCTGGGCTCCCGGTGAAATGACTCTACTGTCGCGGGAACACAGGCTCGCCTGTATACCGTCCGGGAGATGCGTCCGCGCTGCGTCATGGTATGCTTCCAGCGCCGATCTCGGTTCACCCGAGGTTCAGGGCATCTGAAAGAGACGCCTTCCGTTCTCATATTATCAGTGACTAACTTCGTATCTCTGAATGGCTGTGCATGGTTGCTATTGTCAACCACACGAAGGTAACGTCTTGTTGGGAAAAACTAAGCAGAAGTTACAGAAGTGTCTTAAAAACTTTCATCTGAACGTTTGACCAGGTTGCTTTTCAACACGTTTCAACCATTGTTCAATATTCGCAACTTTCACGGCCTATAGGGGTCGCACTAGCGCCTATCAAAATGGCTGTCATCTGGATTATCGTCAAAGAACAGCAGTTAGAGGCTGGGTCTGCGGCGCGTGAGTAATTTTAGTTTTGCTATGTACGAACAGTATTAGAGCCTTACTTTTTTACGTCAGGAATGGGTAGGCAAGCACCTTTATTCTGAAGCCAATCATCCAGGAGCTAGGGAGCGCGATTCTCACACCGCGGTACCACCATCGCTGAAAGTTGCGAATCATCGTGTTCACTGAAACTTGATCCAGCAAAGACAGTAATGTTGTTGCTGCCTTTTTTTTTTTTTTTTTTTTTGGAGGGGGGGTATTTTGATCTTTATTTGAGCCGCAAACTAAACCGTGGTTGTGGGGTATTTATTTTTATATCGATCAATGGTTTCGAGGTTGTAACCTAATTTTCAAATTACGAAGCAGTATGCATATACAAAAACGTTGATGCATATTTTGTTCTGCATCGCCCACCAAATAAAAAATGCATTTTACTTTTTTTCTTAATTTCTAGACATACCCACGTGACTGAGAACTAAAGGGAACCAAAAACGTATATAGACAATGACAAGCATAACGTCCCGACTTGTACCCCATGAGTGCAAGCACGTGCAGCTTGCGTGTGAACATAGCTTTGGCAAGCTTGAAATCGCGCGAGCTTGTCCGCATGAGCAGAGACATGTCGGCAACCAGTAGTCTTGCTTGCAGTCTTCTATACTCCGTTTCATACTTAGTATAGACCCGTTTCTTTGTAAACGCCACCAGGCGGTGCTCCATTCTTTAACGTCCCAGCGAACTTCCGGTTTATAAAAATAATGAACAAAGCCCACCCTAACACCGCTGCTTGTGCTTGAAACGTCGATGAAACATCTAACCATTAATTATCCAGGTGAACGCCAAAAGAGCCAAGAAGTGTGAGATTTACTCAAAATTTTTCGAATTTTCTTATAAATCAATTTGTGTCCTCCAAGGCTGTTAAATCGTACAGCTGAAGGCCCTCGCTACATCCCCAGCTTTGATGTTCGTGTAGCATTGAAGCTTTCTAGCATTAGTGACATAAGCAAGCTCGACAGGCTTGCAAAGACGGAGCGACCGGAAGTCGCTTGGGAAGCCAGCGGTGGATCATGAAAGCTCCTGGCGTGAGCGCGTGGCTGGCTTCATCTATGGTTTCGTTTGCGCGAGAACGCGTGCATATGATCTGCGAGATCAAACCCCATGCTCGCGCCAGCAGCTTTGACAGCTTTGTACACTAAGTATCAAACAAAGTATATAGTACTCCAATTCTGTTAAAGCTACTTGCGCGAGCGCGTGTGAATGAGGCCCAAGACAAAGCCACGTGCTCTCACAGCAGTGCGAGCATGCAGCACTGTGGAAGCTATACTTCCACAGTGCTGCAGTATTTCTTAGGAATTGACGAAGCATCATTTCGTGATACAAATTTAACAAAACCAAATTCGGGGAATGTACTTTGAGGTCGGAAATTGTACTTTCCTCGGAAAGTACAAAAAAAAATACTTTAAGTGAAGTACAAGTACATACTCAGAGAATGTACTTCAAGTAAAGTACAGGTTTCCTAAACCTACTTGAAGTAGTACTTTAAGTACAATGTACTTAAATTACTTCCCAACACTGCTGATTTACTCGTCTATGAGGTGAATTAAGATATACTGTGTGAATTAGTTTTAGATTAGCTTACCATTTATTTTATCAAGACGCAGATATTCAAACGCCATTAAGCATCGTTTCTTCATGCGAGAACCAAATCTTGAAACAACTGCTTCGCGGAGCGCATGCATAATGCGCAAAACTTTGTTTTTGCTTGATGTGACAAACAACGACTATAATCGACATTTGGCGCAGTCTCATATGTTGCTCACAGTGGCTTCAGTCAACTTTTTTTTTTTTATAATCACATTGGATAGGGTGGTCTTTAGTATACGGTAACCAATCAGCTTCGACCAGTGGGAGCCGCAGCAGCCAGCTCAGGCTATACTCGGCGTTCCAATTACGCAGCAATGCCGGTGTGTCGAAGACGAGAGGTGAATTGTCTACTCTGAACGAACTCCAAGTTTCAACATCGAGGATTACATCTAGGCAGTATTGAGAAAAGAAAGATGTCGTATGGTCCCTTTGATATCGTCAATCAACTTATGGAAATAACAGTGGGTCTGCAGGCAAGTTGGTGACAATGAATCACAATGTAACAACCGAGACTCTGGTGCGGTAAAATTAAGAAACTTTCAAGTTGAAGAAAAAGACAACAGTAGGTGAACTATGGTTATATTTGATTCGACTTGTTGTTCTACTTTGTCATTTTCTTCGACTTGGAAGTTTCTTCATTTTCCCGCGCCAGGGTCTTAGGTGTTACATTATGATTCAAATTGTGGAGATGCTGTTGTTTTTTGTTTTTCACAAAAATTTCGAGTAAAAAGCATTTTTGAAGAAAGCTACATCACCAGGAAGTGCGAAAATAACAGTAGTGAAGAACAGTTAGAAGGATAAAAATAAACTACGGCAACGAAACAAAGACGGAAAGATACAATGATACCCAATAAAACACATTGTGACTAGAGGAATATTTTATCGCAAGAAGTAACCGCAGCTTTAAAGAAGGTAACCAAAGCGAAACTTGAAAACAAGACAGACGGTGCTCAGAAGTTATTTCCCCAACCAAACGCAACGCGGAAATGTCCGATAGGTTGGCTCATTAAGTTACGCATTTTACCCTATGTTCTGTACAGTTCAATTCTATCCCTGCGTGTGTTCCATTTATAAATTGACTGCACATCAGAGATGAAAGTAGTTGCATTACTGTAACAAGTTTACAAAACCTCGGTACTCTTAGTGTGTCAATGGAATGAGTTACTCAGTGCTGTAATAAATTGCTTAATTGTATTAATCTGGTAGTGTCACACGGTAGTTACTCTATAATTCCAAGCCAGGAGCGCAGTTTTCACTGGGCAAGAAAGCGGCATTTTCGGCACCCCAAATGCTGCAGCTGTAGACGGCGTCGCCGTCTGGCAAATCTCAACCGAAATAATCGTTCGCTAGATTTGTTCTTCGCTCCACGAGATGACACTGCTGTAGGAGCTGGTACAGAGGAGTTGCTAGAATTACTCCAAGGTGGCTTACATCAGCATCTAATGTAGCCTTTCGGTGGCACTGCGTGTCCAAACGTTTCCTGGTGCTGAAGTGGTCACTATAACCATCTGAATCAAGGCACCACGAGCCGGTGTTCTTGTTGCTGGACAATTTTTGGGCGACGACGCTTCTTGATAAATGAACGCTTCCGGCACAAGCTAGAACCACAGGGTTCTTCATTTAAAACATTTGGCAAAGTTTAAGAGCTCTTGGTGGAAGGTAGCCACATGTTTGTTCGTCTGTCAGGATACCAAGGCAGACGGGGATTTGAAATGGTTATTAGCTGAGGTCCTATGTTGCGTTTATTGGACTCCCACGGCGACTAGAGAGAAGGAAGTGACGTCAACGACACAGCAAACGCAGATTGGATGTTGACAGAAGAAAACAAAATCAACATTCAATCTGCGTTTGCTGCGTTGCTGACGTCACTTCTTTCTTCATAGTCGCCGTGGGAGTCCAAAAAACGCAACATAGGGCCCCTGGTCAACAAGAAGAGCGAGTATTTTTGCACGATGGCTTTCTACCTAGTAAAAGCAAATGTGTTGTTGTTGTTGTTGTTGTTTTGTTTTGTTTTGTGTTGTTGTTTTGTTTGTTTTGTTTTGTTTTGTTTTGTGTTGTTGTGTTGTTGTTTTGTTTTGTTGTTGTGTTGTTTTGTTTTGTTGTTGGGTTGTTCTGTTTTGTTGTTGTTTTGTTGTTGTGTTGTTTTGTTTTGTTGTTGTGTTGTTCTGTTTTGTTGTTGTGTTGTTGTTTTGTTGTTGTGTTGTTGTTGTTTTGTTGTTGTTTTGTTGTTGTGTTGTTGTTTTGTTGTTGCTTTGTTTTGTTGTTGTTTTGTTTTGTTGTGGTAGTGGTAGTGGTAGTGGTAGTGGTAGTAGTAGTAGTAGTAGAAGAAGAAGAAGAAGAAGATTGACTCGTTCATAACCTGAACTTCGTTCGTAATTAAAATCACAGCAGAGATTGGTTCACTTCATCAACGCACGCGGCGTTGACGAGGTCATGACTTTGAAAAGCATAATTTTGTCGTCTAATTTTCGGTTTGATTCGAGCGTCATGTGGCGTCTTCCATCGCCGGCTATGCAAAATGTTAAAAAAAAAAAAGTTGAAAAGTTGAGTTTGTTGTGGAGAAGTGTGCGAAACTCACACTCACACAGTTGCCCTTGTTCTAGAATATCGCACAACATGAGAGCCAGACTACTATAAAAATGCAACTTATATTTTGAATTTGTTTGTAATATTTCATAACCAGCAGCTCGAGTGCACTCGCCATTTCGAAGGTTGCAGAACGTCGGCTTTACCCCAGTAAAACGACGTCATGGGGCGGAGCCAACGAGCCAGGGAGCCCACCCCAGCGCTTTCTCAACTGAGCTTACGCGTGGGGCGGCAAAGTCGTTCCACACCCAACGCCCTCCTCGTCAAGGCTGGAGGAGGCGCTTGATTTCCTTGTGTCTCGATTGAGTGGCTACGTTTAGTAGAGGCACAAGCTCGAGTGTGCCATATAATAGGGGAAAAAAATAATATATATATATATATATATATATTTTTTTTTTTTTTACACTAATTTTTGCATTTTGTTGTTGGGATCATTGGGGCTTCATGCGTAGGGTGAATGTTGAGTATGTGAAACTTTGGGTGAGCGTGTAACGGAAAGGGAAAGTGACGAAGCTGTAGATGTGGCATTGTATAAATGGGAACTCCCGGACAAACGCAGTCAGCTTCGCCGGTGCGCATGGTCCTTGATTCCTCTTCAGGTCGTGAAAACCTGGCGTTTCTCCTCAGGCCTCGACGCCGCCGTGTACGGCATTCCTTTCGACTGTGGCACTTCGTACCGAAGTGGAGCCCGCTTCGGTCCCCGCCAAGTGCGCTGCGAGTCGTCGCTGATCAGAGCCTACAACATGGCCACTAGTAAGTCATTCAGTTAAGGGAGGGTCAAAAACTAGGGTTCTGCTCTCAATGCTCTTGAGAAAAGGCATCCGATGTTGTTGTTGTTGTTTTTTCAACAACTTACGGCCATATTTTGTCGCTCCTCTATCTGCATGACGCAGACCGGAATAAAGATAACAGTGCCGTATTTTTGTGAATCACTTGGCGCCAGGTCATTGCAGTTTCAGCAGTTTCATAGGTTCGAAGCCCGGCGTTTGCTGCGGCAGGTTACCAGCTGTTTATAGGCGTAAACTAATTTCTTGCTGGAACTCGGACTACAAACTCCGCGTATATCGTCAAAGAATCCCCAAAAAGTGAGGAGGAAAAATACGAAACCCTCCTAATTTTGTTGAAAATGCATTCCAAAGCACATGAATCGTATCCGTAGCATAACCGGTAACTGAATCCCCAACAAACCTATTCCTAAAGTTAAAAAAAAAAAAAAAACTTGTGCCACCATTTTCTTTTCAACTAAATTTGATCAAAAAAAAAAAAGGTGACACAAGTTTGTCTAATGTTGAAATATGTCAAATAGTCGTTGTTGACATACTGCCTAAATACATATTAATTAAAGTACGTTCAAACCTCTTCATTTTGCTACCAGAAAATGTTTATATTGATTCAGGGGTGCTATGCAGAGCGCAAGTTTGTCTGCTTCTTTTGCAGGAGTGGTGGTGACGTCAGAATGCCGAGCTCTGATTGGCTCTGATAGAAGGATAGTGGGTAGACCTCAAGGCAGCTTGTGTTGAGGTCTACCCACTATCCTTCGATCAGAGCCAATCGGAGCTCGGCGTTCTGACGTCACCACAAACCCTACAAAAGAAGCAGACGAACTTGCGCACCGCATACACTCCCCGACGCTACAGACATCCAACAAGCAGCGCGCCAAAAGTGCACCGTCACGGCGCTCTCGACGTCTTTGTGCAATCGCCGGCTAAACCAGACACGTGCAGAAAAGGCGCCGTGCTCCTGCGCCTTTTTTTTTTTTTTTTCCTCTGCGCGTTTGGTTTATTTAATAATACCAAACGCAAAAAAAAAAAAAGGGGAGCGTCGTGACGGTGCGCTTCATTACAGTGTTTTAGAGAACCGTTTTTGCACATCGCATACGGTACGATTTGCCCTCCGGTACGCACTGCGCATGTGCCACCACAGAAGACTTTCATACGCGCGCAGTTCATACTGGAGGGCCCGTCGTACCGTATCGGAAGTGCGAAAACGGTTCCCTAAAACTCTCTATAGACCAACTCATCTCACAGGCGTCACGCCACTGCGGTGGCGCTGCAGTCGGTACTGCGCATGCGCAAACGCTTCACTCCTCTCGAATTCAGTTTCTGCGCACGCGCAGTGCCCACACCTGGTGCGGGCAAAGCGGGCTTGTCTGCAAACACTGTGTTGGTATATGCGGAGAGCAAGTCGTCAGCTTCTTGCGCAAGAGTGGCGGTGACGTCTGGACGACGCCAAGGTCTTATTGGCTGAAGGAATGAAATAGTTGGTAGACCTCAAGGCATTTAGCATTGAGGTCTACCCATTATTTTTTTTTTTTTTTCAATCAGCCAATAAGAGCTCGGCGTCGTTCTGACGTCACCGCCACTTTTGCGCAAGAAGCAGACGACCTCCTCTCCGCATAGGCTCCATCGGACTAGAGTGTCGGCTGCGTTCAAGATGCTAGCCTGCAGTAATCGGAAGACGGCGAGGTTTCTTCTCTTCCGATGCATGCTTCGCTTTCAGGAGCGGCCCCGTTCGACTCTCTCCAGATCGCCGACATCGGCGACGTCCCGGTGACCATGTACGACATGCAGCGGGCCATGGCGGACATTGAGGCTTTTGTCCGGAATGTGCTGAGTCATGGTTGCGTCCCTCTGGGCATTGGAGGAGATCACACGGTTACCTTCCCCATCCTCAAGGCTGTCAAGGTTAGGGTCCTCCTTGGCCTCGGGAGTGAAACGTTAGGACTTTGCAGGTCCGCTTCGGAAATTTTGGACCATAAAGCGCAAGGTTCTGCTTGCGGCATGCGTCTTGTTTCCCTGAAGTCACTATTCAATTGACCACGTAGTTGTTCCAAAACTGCTGTTTTTTTTTTTTTTTCTTTTTTTCTTGTTTCCCCGAAAGCCAGATTAGTTTTATGACAACCTAAACGTAATAAATGTTATAATTACTTTTTTTTTTATGTTGGAGTTTTACGGCGAGCATTAAATATGCAAGTTCACGTTTAATTTCTTTCTTTTAAGCAAAAATAAATATTATTACTCACCTGTTGTTCTAGCGTTCACTTAAAACTAGTGGAAAATTCGACAGTCCCATTACAATTTACAATGCACCACGAAGACGTTAAGTGAAACGAAATGAAATGCAAGAATTGCAACTGCATTGCCGTTTCTTTTTCTTGGTAATGTTTGTTTTAATTAAGGTGCGCTTGATATATAAAGGTTGTTATGTTCATAAAATAAGGGGAAGCGTCTCAACTTCCTGGACTTGTATCTTGAAGCTTGAAAAACTCACTGATTTCTACTATATGGGGCTGGATGGCGCTTAGCTGCTCTCCGAGCCTGGCGCAAGTGAAGCCACCGGAAGTTCGATGCTTGTCCCGGAAGTCGGGCGTGCGCTGGGCTTCCTAGTGCATTCAGTCGATATTCTGGTCCATGCTTTTTTTGTGTCTGTGATTGGGTTATAATACTCCCGTTTTGGATTAAATCCCGAGAATGAGGCATTTGAACTCGGGACATATTCACACTCGATCAACTAGAATCTCAAAATGTTTACATTGAATGGCTTCCCATGATACTTCTCGGGTCAGCATGCGCTCTTACTGCGCAACAAGCTGGCTCTCTTGAGGGAACAAGCGAAAATCCAGCACCCTCGACGCTTTTCGAACCAGCACTCGGAAGGGTTACAAAGCCTGTCAAACGCTCACTTCCGGGGCAAGTCGCTTATTTCCGGTGGCTTCATACCTGTTTGCTCAATGCGCCATTCAGGCCCCTCTAGTGGAGATAAGTGGAAAAATCGATTATAATTTAGAGGTCGATCCCAAATCATGAGCAAGACAAAAAGTGCGGTTAGATTCCTAATAGTAATTGAAGGTATCTCTGGTTATGTTTTTGTCAAGCGAAGGCATGGTAAATGTAGCATATTAGGAACATCATGCAGTATTAATCTCTGCGTCTCAGATGAATGTATTATTTATTTGTTTAATTCACAGTACAAAAGTACGCATACCCCTGGCACTGCCCACGGGTATTTCAGATGGCATTTAACCATTCGCTTGAGCGTCGAATCAATGCGTGGTCCAGACTCTGCACGTTCTACTGGGTACACGTTAATTCGTTGGTACTCTGTCTTCGGTCTATAGGCCACCTTAAACACTACTGCGTGATGCGCGCAAAAAAGTCCCAAGGTAGCAAAATCCAACTGTACTTGCCAAAGTTCTCAAATGCAGCGTGAGCTAGCGTTGCCATATCTCCAAGGGCTGACCGACCACAAGCTGCATACGCATCCAGTTTTTTCTTTTTTTTGTTTTTATGGTTTTATGAAATCCTATGTGGCAGGAGCATAAAAACCTAGCTCCACATTTCCGTCAACTTTTTTTTTTTTAAGCATGGCCAAGATTTTTTTTTTTTTTTTTTTTTTTTAAGAATGTTTTGGAAGCACCGCCCGGGCCCTCATTACCGCCAGTCACTGATCCTACGCAATGCGCAAATAGTCAGCTACCGAGGCGCACGTCCCGCTCAAGTTTGCGGGGATCGGTATATGCTGCTCACCCACAAAAATAAAATAAAATAAAATAAACTTTATCCGAGCAGGCCCAGCAATCGAGCGCCGGGACCAGCCCTTGCGCTTTCCCCGCGCCATTGACCGCGCCAATTTCTTTTCTTTTCCCCAAGCCCAAACTTCGCATTACTTAATTGAGCCTTTCCTGGTTGGTTCGTGGAGCTATTGGCTGTCGTGACTGGTATACGTGGTGGTGTTTGTTCGGTTATGTCTTGGTGAGAGTGGTTGGGTGTGGCGTGCAGGAGAAGCACGGCCCCGTCGGTCTGTTGCACCTGGACGCCCACGCGGACGTGAACCCGAGTATGATGGGCTGCAAGACAGCACACGGAACCACCTTCTTTCGGGCCGTCGAAGACGGACTCTTGGACACGCGCCGGGTCGTCCAGATCGGACTACGGGGCACCGTCTACGGCCCCAACGAGGAGCGCTGGAGTGTGCAGCACGTAAGTGACTGCTTCGTGCGCGACGCTGTTTGTGGCTAGGGTTCCGTGGATTTTTCGTGTGCGGCAACAAAAATGACGTCACGGCTTCGTGACGACATGTGACGTCACGAATCCTTGTCTCGTGACTTCAATTTCCCCGCTAAATTTAGCGTACAACTTTTTCCGCTAAATTTTACGGAGAAATTTACGTCACGTGACCTCCACACTAATGCAGTTTCCCCGCTAAATTTAGCAGGAAAATTGACGTCACGTGACACGAAGTCGTGACGTTACATGACGTCACGAAGCCGTGACGTCATTTCTGTTGCCTCACACGAAAAATCTACGGTCACGTCTGTGTCGTGTGCTAAACAGCTTCGCTGGTTATCCACCTTCACAGAGTGGAATGACTCATCATTTTTTAAACGGTTTGTAGCCGCGACGCCACAATCAGAATGTGTCTCGCTGCTTGTAATAAGTGGGAAGTTCTGTGGTTTCTGCAAAAAAGCAGTAAAAGTTATCTAAAAAAAGAATCCGGAGACACGGGGCACACAGACGTACACAAAAGGGCACATAACAACAACGTCTCAAATTTTTTTATTGTGTGTGTCCCGTGTCTTTGGGTTTTTCAATAATTTTGCACCACCAGCTCGCCTGTGCATTATCTCTTATTTCAGTGAAAGTTGCTTTTATGGCATGTTCAACAACAACACCATCGAAGTTGTACAAATGCGTAGACAACCCCAACACCCTAACCCCGCCCCCCCCCCCCCCCCCCCCCCAATAATCCTAACATACACCCAGGATGTGTCCAACAAGGTCCAACACCCGCTATGAATTGCCTACACAAATACACAAACCTATAACCTACGCCCTCCCCCCCCCCCCCCCTTTTTCCACCCAATAGCCCCTCCAAGAAATTTGTATACGTAACTCCCCCCGGAGATCGACGATCATGATTGAACCACTGAGCAGATCCTAATGAGAACGTAATAAGAGACACAAGGCCGGTGCGGCGTTGAACGTAGGCCTGAAGAAGCCTCATGTTCGCAGCAAGGTGGCTTCACGTGCACACGAGCTTATTTTGTTGTTCTTTTTTCTATACACGCTTGGTCCGGCTTGCTAGAATATCAGCGTTTTAGCTTATACTGAGTGAAAGAAAATTTGCCAAGCCTGGGGATCGCAAGCGCTTGAGACTTGACCTTACGCGCCACTCCGCTCGAGTGCTATTAGCGGCGAGGTGTTTCGGTGGCGCCCTCGTTCGGTTACCTTTCGTGACGTCATTACCTTGTGAACAACAAGTTCGATGGTGTTTGTAATGGGCATGGTGGAAGCCTGAAATCATAGCGCTCTCAAACCAGCACTGCCAACACCGTCAAAATTGAAGTTCTTACATTCCTCTTATTTCTGTCGATGAGACATCATTTGCTGACGTCATAGTCAGCATTCGGCCAATTGTGGTGGGCCGACCACAGCGACGCTTTCGTTCGCTCACGTCGTCAATAGCTTCCGCAGTGTTTTCTTTCCCACAGTCTCAGCTAAGACGCTGATTCTATACTCCATTTCACCTTATGTTGTACCGCAGACAAGGCTAGAAGCGCGAGCTCATAGCGTTGGGAGCTACTCTGAACGCACGAGAGCTTGTGCCGCCTTGATGTGCCCTAGAGCAAGGAGCTCGCGCTTGTAGCCTTTTCTGCGGCACATCATAAGGTGAAACAGAGTATAGCAAGCCGGCCTTGGTGCCACGCGCTCCGCAGGGGTTCAGCATCATTCAGGCCCACGAAGTCTGGCACAAATCCATGGTGCCCGTCATGGCGGAAAAAGTGCTTCCTCTCCTCAAGGACGGCCCCGTTTACCTGACGCTGGATATCGACTGCCTGGACCCGGCTTACGCTCCCGGCACGGGTGAGCACGCGACGCCCTTGAGCCACCGACAGGATAAGAAGAGCAGGGAGCCACCGAAAGGATGAGAACGGCGGAAGGCAACGAGCGCGTGCTGGAGGCAGGACACCGGAACAAGACGCCCAGAAAGTTTCGAATTAAAACCATAACTTCAAATGTATTAATTAAAGTGCTAATGACTCGAAAGTAACTAAGAACCTAAGTATAACGAAGTTCGTTACTTTTACTAAATAGGCCTTTTGGCAGAGACCAATTTGACATCCACCTTTTCTCCTGTGCGATGCGTGCTTTTCGTGGGAGCGACTTGTCCCGCGTTCCGAGAAACACCCTGTCGAAGGCGGTGGAGTAGTCAACAGGGTCGTGATTTAGGTCTCGTGTGAGGTTCATTGCGTCTCTATTTGTGGTTTTTGTGCTTGCGTATGTGATGCGTGCTCATGGTAGACCTGTTGTTCGTAAACAATATATCTAGGATGACTGCAATTAAAGTTAACCCGAAGCGTCTCCTGGCGCTCGAAGGCCACAAGGAGAGTTCCTTTTCGCATAACTTTCACCGATGAGGGTTTTTGAGTGTTTTTTTTTTATTATTATTAATTTATTATTATTAATATTATTATTATTCACGTGCATATCTCACCTAAATTCAGTACGCAAGTACATTTCTTAATGCTAATGTTGAATCTGCAATCAGATTTAAATATATATTTTTCTCAAACGATATAGCAAAATATATATAACTCCAATTAGGTCAATTCTTACCACGAGTCATTAGGGAAATTTCTCAGTAAAAACTTTTATTTTAACTACATATGAAAATTTCTAAGGGTCAACCATATACCCTAAAACTAATAGAATATTTATAAAATTATGTTATTTATTAGAAATAAATAGTTGTGAAAAGCAAATAAGTAGGACGATAATTATTTCAAGCTGCAGTTTTTACTTGTCCCGTTTGGGGCAGGGTCGATAATAAAAATTAATAATTTAAATCGCGATTTAAATCAGACCAATTTTACTATGATGGTTTAAATCGAACCTTTCACGCAAAAACGTATTCAGAAAAAAAAAAAAAAATATATATATATATATATATATATATATATATTATCATTTGTCTATCACTTGTTGCTGTCTGTGTATTTGTTTTGTATTTAAACAAAAAAAAAAACAAATAACTTTTAACCTTTCCACTCTGGGGAAGAAGGAAGACCAGCGAAGCTGTACTATGGTGGGAATGAAGTAATGGCCGGCCGCAAGTCGGCAAGCCAGAGAGGGAAGGCTTGAAAGGTTACCGCCGTCGCTTATAGATGGCGGTAGCTGTTCGGAGTGTTGTGTCAACACGTATTTGCTGGCGGACACGATTCTGGGAAAACTAGCCCTTAAGAGCTCCGCTGTAATAATTATCACTCAAGAAAGATTTACATAAGACTGAACACAAGCAAAAAGAAGTGCTCTTCTGAGCAACTCGGAGCGTTGAACTCCGATTTGTTCGTCAGCTACGTAGCATCCTATTGCAACAAAATCAGAACGCAAAGATAGAAAGGAAAACTGTAAAAGCAATGTCCTATTGCGATTAACTCAAAACTCGAAAAAAAAAATAAGATTCTAGCTAAAAAAAAAAAAAAAAAAAAAAAAAAAAAACGGTCTCTTTCGTTTCAGTAAGGCAGGAATTACAGCAGTAAAAAGTTCATTAAACTGTACTTTACATTTATAGTCATTTCTTTTTCTCGCATTGTTATGAGTGATTGTTGAATTAATCAATCAATCTCCCATGTTCAAAAATACATCTAGAGGTAAAGAATCATTATTTTCTAGCTGCAGTGATTCAAATCAAATTAATCTGATTTACATCAAATAAATTTGACATTTTTTTCAACAAAAAAATTTTTTACCCTGGTTTGGGGCAAAAAGCAAAGTTTTACGATGTATTTCAGTTGCCACAGAAAACGTCAATACCAAGTTTACTAAAATTCCTTCATAAGAATATTTTCAAAAACTCCGTTAGGCGATGGCACTTGACAAAAAAGGCAAAGCTGTGAAAATCACTCTCAAAGTTTCTCGTGTGCTTTAAATCAGGCTTCTTGAGACTTTCCATTCGGTGGTTTTAAGAATAGCGAGAGATTCAACTCGGTGATCATATTTTGTGGGGAGATACTCTGGGCTGTGAAGACTTCACACATGTGAGCTATAAAAAATATCAATAATTTTAATTTTTTTTTTTTCGTGCGACTGCATATATATGTAAGTTACTTACTCGTATATGATGCGGAGTGCGCATAAACTTTTCTAGATGCTTACTATGATTTAAAAAAAGATATATATATATATATATATATATATATATATATGTATATGTATATAAACTGAAGGGTCCAACAAATTGACACGGTGAAGACTACTGCGGTGACAAATATTTCATCCATACGTCGGCGTTTCGTGAACATCGCGAAACCAAACATCACCTCTATCGTTTCAATTGTGTTTGCAGGGACTCCAGAAATCGGAGGTTTAACGATGATCCAAGTACTCGAGATCATTCGAGCATGCAGGGGCCTGAACATCGTTGGCGCAGACTTGGTAGAGGTTCGTTTGGTCCAACTAGTGCTTCCTTTTTTTTTTTTTTTTTTCTTTTTTCCAGTTATGACACTTGATTTCTGAAGAGGGGCGTCACAGCGTCCTTGATGACGCAGTAACGTACCTCGACACAAAACAAATGCTTATTGGTATTTCTTCTTTCTCTCTCTCTCTCTCTCTCTCTCTCTCTTTTGCTGCAGGTGTCTCCCCCTTACGACCTGAGCGGAAATACGGCACTGGCAGCGGCCAACTTGCTCTTTGAAATGCTGTGTGTTCTACCGAGGGTCAAGTTGCTGGACTAAATGTCGGCGTAGTCGCGAGGTGCACTGTTCCCCACCGACGAGGTGATTGCTCCACGAGACGCTATGCACGACCGCTGGCATTCGTGGGTCTCTCCGATAAACACGGATTTGGCGTAAACAGGTCGGCTTGCGCTAGAAACAGAATCAAGAACAGATGTTTAAGACAGGTTCACTCAAAGCGTTCGAGAGTAGCGAGTGATAACCTTGCGCGCGCGGCAGCATTAATTTGTCACTGCTTTTCTTTATGAGGCACCCAATTAAGACTACTTATTTCGTTTAGAGCTGGGGTCGCCATGGGCGTACCAACCGGGGGGGCATTTGCCCCCTTAGTTCTCAAAGGGGGGGCAAGGCATGTGTTTGCCCCCCCCCCCCTCCCCGAAACAGCCGCCACTGGGCAGGGCAAACACTGGCCGGCGAGGCCCACGGAATACCAAGGGCACCGCCCCCCGGCCCTGGGGTGGGGGGAGGGGGGTTTTGTTTGCACCCCCCCCCCCCCCCCTCAAAAACAGGTTGGTACGCCACTGGAGGTCTCCAAACTTTTTGGCTAAGGGTCCAGATGGGATGTCTGTCACTGTCTCGAGGGCCAGAAAATAAATAAATAAAAATTAGGAAAAAGTAAATAAATATTCCTGTAGATAAGCATTTATATGCAAATTAAAGAAGAACATATGGTAGACGAATACATCTAATCTATTTATAAATCCAGTATTTAGCTTATTATAACAATTGCACAATAAATTGGGACCCAGAAAACTCACCAGGCCTAAATCAAAGAGCATAGGAAGTTTGGCATGGTCCAGCAGAAGACCGAGCACAATATACACGGGAACGCAAAGAAATTTTGAGATACACAGTTACGCAGATGTGGAACACGGGACTAAGAACGGTGACGCTGGTGTTGACAATCTCCAATGAATAATATGACGAAAAAACGCACCTTACAATTGGATTTTTTTTTTTTTCTTTTTTTTTTCGTTTACGCGGTTTGTCCGCGCTGCTGAAGCGGGCCGCGGGCAGGGCTTAATCGGAAAAACCGCGGTCAGCCGGTTCTAGACCTGTTGATGGGGTGCGTTCAGCTTTGCTTTCTTCATCTTCTACCGAAATAAATATTGATTTAAAATATATTCATAGTTCATTAGCCGCAGCGCGGCTGTGTTGCGTTTTGAAACTTGGCCTTCGTCCCTAAAGCCGGGGTCACACTGCTTAATACAGGGTGTCACAAAAGAAAATTTACACAGTCTTCTTTACCGCAAAAATAAACTAGGCACCGCCGAACGCTCATTCTCCGCCCAATGGTAGAGCTAGAGGTCACAACCAGATGCCAAAGTTTCAGCCTGATCCGATAACTTAATCAAAAGTTATTAGTGATTTTCTGAAAATTTCAATGGAAAAATGGCGGCCGACGGAGTTTTCAAACACATGGGGCTCTATGGCACCAGTAACCGAAAACGGGAAAAATGGGCTCCATTTTCCCATTGAAATTTTCAGAAAATCATTTATAACTTTTGATTAACTTATCGGATCGGGCTGAAACTTTGGTATCTGGTTCTGACCTCTAGCGCTACCTTTGGGCGGAGAATGAGCGTTTGCCGATGTCTAGTTTATTTTTGCGGTAAAAAAGACCGTGTAAATTTTCTTTTGTGACACCCTGTACATCATGTACAAAAGACAGTCTGCATACAGATTCGGACACGAGTCGCTGCGGGATCCTTGCTTCGAATGCGTCACGGCAATGAGATCAAGGAGAAACTTGGCACGCGACATTCAAACCACGGATATTGTGTTGACTCGTGTTTGCAGACAGTCTCTTGTCTTTTGTGTAACATGATGCACGAACAGTTCAGCCCCGGCTTACCAGTTCAGTGACGAGCACAACTCAAACCTCTTGGTGGGCCCACATATAGGAGAAAGCAGAAAAAAGACGCGCTGTTGTTCGGTTCGGCGTAACGTCAACACCAACAGATATGTTACCTTTTTTTTTTTTTTTATTTTGTATTATAACTTTTTTTTTTTTTTTTTTTTTTGTTAGCCGAAGTTATACAGTTATTATAGTGTACGCTAGAGGCTCAACTGGCGCTAGTGTCTATGCGACTTCCGGGAGGCAAATTGAAGCAGACAGCAACCAGTCTACTTTTGCGGTGCTCCTATGCATTCCTATGGGAAAACGCGCGTGAATTTTGTCTCTTCGCCGGAAAATAACGTGAATAACTTGTTATATCGGTTTTACCGGATAGTGGGTACCTTTTATTGATATTGTGAAAGTGTAATTGATTTAGTTACATCATTTTTCTTTACCACTGAACGATGTTAAACTTCGCTATATTTCAGGCCCAAACCTCCGTTCCATGGCAGGTACGTAAAAATGAGCGACGATTCTAAGCAAAATAACAATCGAAAGGAATGTAGGGTGCATTCAAGGTTCGCTAGTATTCCGGTGGCGCTTATATATTGCTAATATGCCCGTTCTGTCACTATATGAAAATGACTCTGTCGTGCATCTTCACGATCTGTTAAAAAAATAAAGTATGTGGGCTACGAAAGGTGTGTTTTTTCATTATTTCCTATGTCGAGCCATGGGCGTACCAACCGGGGGGGCAAGGGGGGCACTTGCCCCCCCAGTTCTCGGAGTGGGGGGGCAAGGCATGCGTTTTGCCCCCCCTGAAACGGCCCCCACTGGGCAGAGCAGACACAGGCCGGCGGCGCCCAAGGAATACCAAGGGCACTGCCCCCCGACCCGCGTGGGCATATTTTGAACGCGCAGGCGATACAAACCCTAGCAACGGTGCTCACGCACGCCGGATTGGCTGGTTCGTAAAGCCTTGCTCCACGAACAAGGCTACACGGTAACCTTACGGAATCCATCCGCGAGACAGGGGCCGGACGGGCCGTCCAGACCAGGACGTAGGCCCTTACACAAAATAAAGTTTTGCTTGCTTGCTTGGAGATAGGCGCTGCCGCCGTCAACATAGGCAGCGGATGCAATGCGAGTTTCCGAAGAGGTAGCGTAACTTAGTGGTGAGATGTCTGCCTCATACGTGTCAGACCCGGGTTCTATTTATGGTGTGGGCCGGCTTACTTCTTTTTATTTTTTTTTGAACATTTTGTTTTGTCGAGGCATTTGGCGATATTTACATTTCTTTTTTACCATTAACACTAAAAAAACGAATGTTGTTGACGAAACATCGCTAAACTAAATCGTATCGACTCTATTTACGGAAGTGCATGGGGGGCAGCGGGGCTTGGGTTGCCGACCGGACGCCGCAAAGCGGCGTGTACGGGGGGTGGGGGGGCTAGGTGGGTTAATAGATTTGTAATTAGCAGCCGCACACCGTCACCGCGAAGCGGCGTGAACGCAGGCGCGGGGGTGGGTTAACGCGCTTCGAGTGATACACGAGCAGCCCATCCGGCGTGAGCGTCGTTGTTAGGGGTTCTATCGCCTGCACCATAAAAGGAGCAGTGTGTGCACCTCCTGTAGTGGGCAAGAATTCCTACATTGGAGAGAAGCGGGGACAAGCCCTTTCTTCAAATGCGTCAAGTCTCCTTGAGCTTCGGAATACAAAGAAACGCCACTATTCGGAGCTAATCCCACAGTTACTCGACCTCTCTTGCGTCGTGTCTGTTCGCTCCCCGCGCCTCGTAGCAGTGTTGTTGCAGTGGGGGGGCTCGTTAAAATTTTGGGGTTTTTTGGACTATCTAAATCACTTTCTTCCTTCCCATCCCCCCCTTTTCTACTCCGCATGCTTCCCCCTCTGCAAATATCAGCTGACCTTCCGACCTCTGTTCTCTGTTGATAGGCAAAACAACCACTAAAATTAGAAAGTAATTTGTAATTTGAGTGGAAGTCACTCGGAAAAGTAGTTAAAGTAAACTACTGATTACTAGAATAGAAATGTAATTAAAAGTTACTAAACTACCCAGAAAAGTAGTTAAACTACAGTAACTTGAGTAAAGTAGTTGAACTACGTACAAGTCTGGCCTGGCAAGCGCTCTGCGTAAGTGTTTTCACTGATCTGCCTAGCCCCGCACACCATCACATGGGCCAAGAAAGGTGTAGTTTTACTGCAGAGGAGAAATCAGCAGGGTCCAAGATGGTGACAATGGAGGATGGGGGACTGTTCCAGTGGCTGATGGCTTGAGAAAGGAATGACCAATTGAAAGCGTTCGTAGAGCCAGAAGTGTGTTTGATGGTGCAGACGTTGTTGAGGCGAGAAGATGTTCGGTTGAGGGGTAATAACAAAGTGGTTTTGAGGTCGGGAATGTGGTAGTAGATTTTGTGAATAAGGCACAGCTGAGAGACTTTCCTGCGAAGCTGCAAAGAGGACATGGTTAGTTCAGTTTTTAGTGCCGAGACACTGAAAGAAAAGTCATAAGTGGATGAAATGAAGCGAGCAGCTCTGTTCTAAACTGCCTCTACAGCGTATTGATGAGGTACAGTCGATGGGTATTCCAGATGGTTGAAGCATATTCTATTTTTGGTCTGACGTACGTGTTAAAGGTTAGCTTAGGGACAAAGGGTGGGGCGATTTTTTAAGTTACGTCTGCTTAGTCCAAGAGTTCCAGATGAATCGGTGGTAATGACTTCAATGTGGTTATTCCAGGGAAGGTCAGATGTTAGTCTTACACCAATGTATTTATACACAGTAGCGGTCTCAATCAGATCGGAGTCCAAGAAGTAATGAAATGACAGAGTGTTTTTTTTCTTGGTGAAGTGGATTAGTTTGCGTTTATACTTGTTTGGTGACATAATCCACTCTCTGCACCAATTGTTAATTTTATCTAGATCTTCCTGAAGCTGGTTATTATTTTGCACACAAGTTACTTTGTTATGGATGACGCAGTCGTCGGCGAAAAAGCGTTTTTTTGAAAAAATCCCAATGGGAATGTCATTAATAAATATTAAAAAGAGTAAGGGCCCAAGTACGAACCCCAGGGGAACACCAGGAGATACATTTATTAAGGAAGATTCATGATCATCATGGACGTGACCTGTACACGGGAAAAAAGAAAGTCACGAATCCATGCAAACGGTTATTGGTCGAGGCAAAAAGATGATAGCTTAGAAAGAAGGCGTTGATGGAGGACACGGCCGAACGCTTTGGAAAAAAAAAAAAAAAAACTGCGTCAGTTTGGACGTGACATTCAAGGTTAGTGTGCAAGTCATGGATGAAGTCGCAGAGTTGCGTTTCGCAGGAAAGTACCTTTTGAAAACCGTGCTGCTGTTTAAAGAAAAGAAATGGGATGATAGGTGCCTCATGATATTGGAGTAGAGGATATGCTCAAGTAGTTTGCAAGAAATTGAAGTCAATGAATTAGGGCGATAATTAGATGCGGAAGAGCGGCTGCCCTGTTTAAAGACTGGGAATTACCCTTCCCACCTTTTGGTCAGATGGAAGGCAGCTTTGAGATGAGGACTGAATGAAGATGAGTTTCAAATACTCACTAGAAATCACACGGGTGTTTCTTTTAAATTTTAGGGTTGATGTTATCGGTTCCAGCGGACGAAGTAAGTTTTAGTTTCTCAATCAATGTTTTAATACCAGCGGAGTTAACGTTAATAGGATGCATGCGCTCGTAAAGCTCTTCAGGGAGAGTGGGGACGAAGTCCAAGCACTCGTTAGTAAACACTGACGAAAGTATTCGTTAAACACAGAACTATCATGCTCGACGTTGCACATCCGACATTCCTAACTCTCCCCATCTTCCTAAACATCCGTGTGTGTCCTAACACCAGAAACCGGAATTTTAAAGGTTAAAAACGGCACGTTGCGAATATGGAACGCGCACTTTCATGCAAAGCTGACGTCAAGTGACTCAAATCGAAAAACATGCATATTTACAGTATTGTTATCTCTTCTGGTGAAGGCTAAACAACCGTTGCATCCGTTTTCGCGCACGAAACGGTGACTCCCAGAGAAAGTAAGAACGCAGTGATTGTCTTTATTTTAACAATGTAAACACACTTGCAGGCGTGCGCTGATGAAGCCTCAAAATCAAAACTCTCGTAGTGTGATTCGTGACTGCTCCGGCTACTACCCAACCTCGTTGTCACGCCACTTTCTGCAAGCAAACACTAAAATTGCCAGTAAACACACAAAAGCGACATCGATACAATTATCTTGTAGAATATCACCTTATTTAATCATAACTGTTTCAATAGGCACTACAAGTTGTATTTATTTTAAGAAGAAGAAGCAAAATTTTTTTCGTGAGAAAAAACAAAATATCAATGTTAAGTCTGGTAACGTTGTAATTTTGCCGAATCATTGCCACATCTTTAGAAAACTTCGACAAAAGTTGCGCCGAATTTTCGATTAAGGGGGGGGGGGGGGGGGGAAGAGGGTCGGGTTTGCCCCCCCACTCAAAAACAAGTTGGTACGCCACTGTGTCGAGCAGTTTTAATCGGGCACCTGTTCTCTGGCTTCTCCCTATTTGCAAAGATTTGGAGCGCGCGGGTGATGATTTTAACACATAACAAGCATCTGCGCACACATTTATGAGCAGAAAGAGTAAAGGCTGTAAAGCAGTACTTATTTATTGCAAATCAATTTGTTTTGATCGTCTGCCTTCACAGGAGGTACTTATCCAGTGGTACTGCATAGTTCTTGCAGTCTCTTTTGGTTTTCCACATGTCCTTCGTTCGTTTGGTACGTCCCCCATGCTGAAAGCGCCGACGCCGTGTTCGCGCTAACAGTGTCAGACAGTAGACATAAATGCACGTACGAAGCGGTTTAAGCACTGTTTTTCATGCCACGAATTTTAAATAAAAACTCAGTAACTGACCAATTATTTCGTCTGCGTAACTGAGAAATGTTCGAATGTGCCCACTACGTACGAATTATTTGTGATATTTGCTCTTATAATCGAGCGCAAAGAGAAAATGCACTCGCTTTTTCCCATAGAAATGCATTACCGGACTGGTTGCCATCTGCTTCAATTTGCAGCAGCACACTAGCGCCACTCTGACCGAAGTAATCACAAGAGCAATTGAAAAAACTCAGCGCGACAAGGCTCATGGCGCCACCTGTTATCGCTGCCTTCAACCATGATCTCCTAGATACCGAAGCGCGCGCGCTTCGAAATCTCGGAGGAGCAGAAGTCCGATGAGCGTGTTGCCTAGGTAACGTCTTCACGCGAAGACGAGTCCTTCCAGAGTGGTTAAAAAATTATGCAGGATCTACTGGGTTTCTCCCCCAGAAAATTGCTGCCAAAAAGCTTTTTCTTTTTTTCGGGTAGTTTTATGGGGAAATTTGAGACGGCTTCGCAGATACTCCAACCATCGCCAGTTCTCTACGATCTATGTAGCACTTCATGCTTCATGTGACAGCGAAAGTGCTACAAGCATGAGTATGTTGGCCTGAACGATGCTTGCACTGCACGACCGGGAGTGCTTGGCAGGGACGTTGAAAGCCCGGAGCTCGCTCTTATAGGAAGTATTCAATAGCGGCCATAGCTGTGTGCGCGACTGCTGAGCGCCTGCTGATGGCGAGCTTCAACAGTTCTTTTGTAACGTGCGTTCAACACCCTCAAGATTGCCGGTCTTAGCAGCCTATTAACGTGGGCTCGTTCCGAGCATGCGCTCTAAACAGCACCCACAAATATGGCGCCCAGTGAATACTCCTTATAGCTTCGGCTACGATCACGCTTAAAGTAAAGCAGAGTATAAACGATTCCATTGGTTACAAAAATCAGAGGCCAGCCAGCACGAGCTCGCATCTGCCGCCAGTCAGAAAACGCTCGTGCGAAACGCGCCCTGAGACTCTTACTTTCTCGCACAGCACGCGAGCGCAGGGAAAAAATTCCTTCGCAGAACAAAGAGCTTTTTTTTTTTTTTTTTGCTTTTTCAAATTATTTAATTTCCAGTTTTAACTAAGGGGACCAGACGTCCCGTTTTCGCCGGGGCAGTCACGTTATAGAGGTTCATGCCAGTCGCCCGTAATTTTGTCTGAATAAGCCAAATGTCCCGTTTTTGTGGAACTTGCGAAATCTGCACCAAGCGAGTGAAGAAAGCAAGAAATGCTTACAATGCATTAGAATAAACATAGAATAAAATTATAATAAACCAGTACAGTAAGATTTTTAGCTTTCTTTGTGGCTCCACTTGCCAATAAGTTCTGTTCACAAACGTGTGCACGGGGCACTTTGCTATATTACTAAATTTGGCATGCTTAGGTTTCGCAGAATGGGTAAGAAAGGTGCTTGTGTACTCAGCTGCGCAACGAAAACCCTCAGAAAACTGTGCGTTTTCACGGTGAAATGAACAGCAGAGCATTTTCTTTTTGGTCTCACTTCGCCCCTCCCTTCACCTTTCCCATTGATGTTTCGTTTTCTACTCTGAGGAGTATGGTCATTGCTCACCCTTGTTATTACATAAGGATACACACTAAATGATTTCCGAGGACAAATGGCCATAGATAGTGGAGTCTCTCTCGGTTATTGGTGTATTTTCCATGCATGTAAAGAAATGGCCAAGCGACGCACGTGCTGCTGCACCAAATGGCACCTGAACTGCCGACCAGTCCAAAAATGTCCAGAACCATTACCGACATGTCAGCGATGCACGAGTCGTGGTACAATATTATGCGCACATGCAAACGAGCCGAACACAGGTAACAGAACTCTGTCCAAAATTTCTAAACCAGACTGGGGGTCCACTAAGCCAGGCTGGCATATTGAAGTAGTGGGTCACTCATTTGTTTTGGTAGTCCATAATAAACAAATGTTCCTGCTTCTATCTTCAGATTTCATGATCCTTCAGCTTTTGATATTATCATCATGTCAATACTCTGATAATCTGATAGAATTTTTTTTATTGTGTCAACAGAACTTGGCTGCTTGAACAGTGGAAATTACAGGCACAGGCATGGCATAGGATTATCATTCTTATTATGATACATGATGTTGGTACAATTCTGTATAGTTTATTAATAAATTCATATTGAGCCTTCTAGAGTCTAACCCCCATCACTTTAGCTTAAATCTGCTACACATTTTTTTTTTTTTTTTTAAAGATCGAGGTTTGGGCGAGTTGGTTACACATTGTCTAGATAAAACAAATGCAAAGGTATGATTGTCACTCAAATGCTATAGCAGACAGTATAGATTTTTACATGTAAAAAAAACTGAGGCTATGAGCAACACCCCATATATATCCTGAAAATGAGATCACCCGGGATTCGAACCAAGTACCCTGTACTTTGAAGGCTATGCAGAACCTCAGTGCCATGAAGGCAGTCTCAAATACTGCAGATGTGTTCATTAACATGACAGTAGTCCTGAGCCTGCTCTGACAGAGCTACCTTCGTCTGGGCATGCTGGTTTGTGAACGAAGCAGGTATATGAGCTCCAATAACATTGCCCTGTGGGGTAAGAGATCAGCATTTGTCAAGAGCACTTTAGTCGCCATACAGTAACAGATAGACACAGGCTCAACTGAGCACTGACACTAACTGCTTGAAGGCACACTGACATGCTCTATACTTCGTTTCACCGCATCTTGGCAAACGGCGAAGTAAACGAATTAGTGCGTCGGAACAAGGCACGTGACAAAATATTGTTGCTGTGCTCCCGTTCTGCAAAAGTTGTCGAATGCTTCACTCCATCACTGAATGGCTGGAGGGGACCGTGACATTTGTTCTTTGCCAAGTTAAACGGTGAAACAAAGTATAGTATGCTTTCTAAGTTTTGTACTCGTAGCATGCTTCCTAAGAAAGCTCCACCAGGATCCTCATATTTCAAAAGCAGTAAACATGACAAACTGTTTTTGTTGCAGTTGGTGCATCAGCACCTAACAGATGGCACCATTACACTGGACTAGTCAAACAATAAAAGTTGAGAGACACAGCTTCACATAAAACAATAACACTAAATGCCCATTTGATAATGCCCTCAGAATAAAATCCTACATGGTTGCAACTCAGCAAAAATGCCACAAGTCATTTTACATAAGAGGAGAAATTTTGTTGTACCATCTGTCCCTACAAGTCTTCCACGAACAAGATATGCATTGAATGAATTGCCTAATGTAAAGACACCCTGTAGCAATACAACAATCAAATGAACAGCTTCTGACAGCTTACTTTCACTGCAGAGAATGATTGTCATGCCTAATTATACTATGTCACAACTGGTTAACAAAGTATAACTATGCAATGAAACTGAGCCAACCACTTTTACGAAATCCCCGACACTTGTAGGGTTGTTTAAAGTACTTGTGGTACCTTGTACGAAAATAGGTACTTAAGGATATATTTCAAACACTTGTACCAGGTACACTTCAGGAGCACATACTTTTACTTCCTTTTGAAAATATTTTTTTTCGTAAGTTCAAAGGAACATACAGTAGTCAACCTTCAAACACATTTGGAAAAATCAATCATTGGCAAGTGGCTGAAACTATTGACACAGTCACGGCCTGGCTAATAACTGCTTCTTGGTCTGAAAACAAATACTCAGTTTTCTTCTTTTGCAATTAACTTCATAAAATGCATTTTTGGAAGAAACAGGAATACTTGAATCGGCTGAGAAAAATTCTTGGCATAATGCCTGGCATAGTTCACTAGCACATTTCAGCCAACATACTTTCTACTTTCACTGAAGTATGAAGCTGCTTTGTACTAGTGTTGTTTTAGACACCCTTTCCCCAAAACAACCCCAAATATTAAACACACATGCACACAACCTATGCATACATGGTTGGTTTGTATGTCTAGGCACATTGTGCACAGAATTCACAAATCCATCCTTAAGGCTTTCATGCACACTCCTCCGTGGGTCAAGGCCTGCGCGGGCAGATGCAAAGCGGACGCTGTATATTGTGTAGCTGTCACACTCTCCCCAATACCTGACATAATAAAAATCATACACTAAGGTGTCATACATGAGCTCTTGAAAAAAAGTAAGAGTATTCAATGTCACCACCTGGGGGATGGCATGTCACCAATTTCATATCCCAACTCACAATGGGCTGCTGTTTACTTTGTTGCATCTTTCAAGATTCTGGCAGACATTGAATTGATACAAAGCAATTGGTGAAAAGTGAATCCAGCTGTGAATTGCTTTGGAGTCCTTCAGCATTATAAAATTAACAAAGCTGCCACGCAACAGGCCATCATTTAGCATACAACAGCATTATGACCAGTACATGCAGCATTAAAAAGATGTTGCTGACCTTACAGAGAATTGAGGGTAGCCCTTAGTGACCAATCAATTCATCACCTTTAAAATTTACAACTGAAAGGACACCCCCAAAAAATAACCCGAGATGTCATTGTTCACTGCCTGCCTCGGCATCAGGATAAGGTAACCAGTTTCTAAGAGAAGCGTAAGTTTTGCCATCCCCCTCCTATTGTTAGCAATAGACCCAATAATTCAACATAGCCTGACATGCACAAGACAACACCGATATACAAGAGACAATCAATTTTTCCTTTCTACCCATTATCCCCACAAACAAGACTTCAGTCAATAATTTGTAGGTGCATCCGGTTCTGGAAGTAGTCAATGAGTGCAGCAATAATCCTCTTCTTCATGTACAGGTCTCCGGAGAGCACTGCTCCTAGTGTGACAATATCGGTGATGTCGACGTCCCTGAAGACTCGCTGGATGACCATGTACAGCTCATCCTTCTGCCTGTCGGGCATCCTGCTGATGATCTGGCCGACTGTCATAAATTGGTCCCGGGTTACCACAGCTGCCACACACCCGCCCACGGCACCACCTGGTTGACAAAGAACAAATGCCAAGGGCATGCCAATTACACACTGTTTCATCCACAAGGCTTCTTGAAAAAGCCATGTCCAGAGGCAAAACAGTGGCTGCCATTCTTGGGTTTTCCCAGAGAGCCATCTTCTGTGCAGTTCCTCGAGAGAGGGGTGTAGTTACTACAGTGTAGGTACTCCAAAGCTTCTTCTTGCCATTCTTTTTTCTCGAATTCAACACAATTTTCTAGACGCCAAACTCTTAGAGGGGGGATAAGTCAAATTTGTTGGCATGACAAAACTCTGAGCAAAAGCTTGCACTGCAGAAACCAGGGATCATTCCTGGGTTCAATCCCCACTCCTACCCGTTTCGATCTGAACAAGCATCATGTTGGCATGCTGTCACATCAGATCTACCACATGATGTACAGTCCCCTGCAAAATGAAAGGCCCACTGGGAGCGCGTGGCTGAGGCGGTGGCTGGCAGGGGCGCTGCGAGCGCCCCGGGCAATTCCATTCTGCTTCGAGGGGAGGACACTCTAAACCGAAAGCAGAAACTGATTAGTGGGTTATGGTTTAGCTGAGTTCGAGTGAGAGTCCTCCTCCGAAGCTGAATGGAGCTGCCTGGAGCGCTGGCAGTGTCCCCGCCAGCCGCAGCCTCGGCCACACGCTCCCAGTGGGTCTTTGATATTGCAGGGGACTGTAAATGAATGGTTAGTGGTCATACTGTACTGGCTTAACTGCTCATCTACAGTGCCAACCAGTGTCACCATTTCTCAAGGGCAGACCACAGACCAACCTCTCACTGTCTAAACATGCAATGTCTAATTTGCTATGTTGCCTTGCATAATCTTTGAAGCTTCTATGTCATGAAAAATTATCAGGAAAGGAAAAAAGGCACCTGTAGCAACAGTGTACAAAGTGAGCTACATGAGCCATTCAGCGTATGGACAGCAAACTATGGATGTCTGCATGCCAGCAGTGCCTTCCTGGGTTGCCGTAAAAAGTTCACTGGTACAGCTGCACTTTCAATGATTGAAGGAAATGCTATTAGGCTGTGCCAAAACTGGATGTTGTTGCATGTTCAAAGTTATAAGCCCTGTGTACACACCTGCTTTTGTAATTCGTCAGTTGCGTTTTTGTTTTTATAAATAGGGTTGCCTGTCACCTGCCCGGTTCATGCCCGGCTTTTTGGATAAAAAGCCGGTTGCCGGCCTGTACCTAAAACCGGCTGTCAATTGCCGGCTTTTCTCAACTATCCAAGCACAATTTTTATTTCTTTATTTTGGTGGGGGGAGGGGGGGGGGGGTTTATAGATATATTTTAGACCATCAACGTTATCAAGCATATATGCATATCCATTATCTATTTTAACTTAATTTTGTAAATAATGTCCTTGCATATAGATTTGTTCATTTAGCCAGAAATAAGACATAATTTTCGTAAAAGTTGTGCGTTTACTATTCAGTGTAGCACGTAAAGACAGCGATTTACCGAAGGCGACCGGAGGATGGTGAGCAAGACATCACTCTGAATCCGAGAACACAAACCTTTTGTAATTCATGATATATGAACACATGCTCGTGTTACACGAATTCCCGAGTGACCATGAGCTTTAAAGCTCATGCCGGTGCTCCTGGTCCGTACCCGTGTTCACTACCACGAACTCCAAAACCAGCGATTTTTTGAAATAGATTTATGCTCGAAATCTGCACGCTGAGCACCATGCTCAATGTCAATTAGAGCCTTTTTAATTGAAGCATTATTTGGTTCGCAGCCATTTTTATGTAAACTGCAATAATGAGTTCTCCACCTGCTGCACAAGATGAGTAGAAGTGCTAGATTTATTTTGACGCTTTCATTTTGGCTACTTAATATCCATGTACATGGATACACAACACATGGATATATGTTGTGTATCCATGTACTTATGTGTGCTATGATGTACCAATCGTCCGCAAGAAAACCGAACTCTGTTGTTTGCACCGCAAAAATAAACTAGACATCGCAGAGAGCTGAAATTCCGTCAGAACGTAGGCCCGGCCGTTCGAGCAAGATGCCAAACTTTCAGCACCGAACGTTATCTTACTTAAAAGTTACAAGCAATTTTCTGAATATTTCAGTGGAAAAATAGCGACCGATGGATCTCTCGAATACGTGGGGCTCTATGGCACCAAAAACCAAAAATGAGCAAAAATGGGCCACTTTTTCCCATGGAAAATTTCAGAAAATCACTTATAACTTTTGAATAAAATTATGGTTGGTGTTGAAACTTCGGTGTCTTGCTCGAACGGCTGGGGCTACGTTCTGACGGAGTTTGAGTTCTCCGAGATGTCTAGTTTATTTTTGAGGTGCAGAAAATAGGCTTCGGTTTCCTCGCAGACACCCGGTACTAATAGATCTATGTCAATTAAATTTACGTTTGGAAGCTCGTATCAAAATTAATTAATCTGTTAATCAATTAACGACTCTCAACAAAATCCCCTCCCCCCTCCGGAATGGGCGGTTTTATCCTCGAGGAAGGGTGGCAACCCTATTTTATAACCCCAAAACTTGGAGCTAAGAATTATATTTCGAGCAGTCAAATAAAGCCAACTACACTTGGTCAGCAGTACAGAGCCCTAACCTGGACACTCGGCAAAGAAGTTGGCGAGAAATCGGGCGGCCGTGATTGGAGAGGCGCTGAGCTTCGCCTTCACCTTGGCGTTGGCCAATCAAGGCCACCGGATTTGTGGAAGACTTTTTTGCCAAGCGTCCAGATTAGGGCCCCAGGACACCTGAAGAGCACAACACAGCAAGAATCACAGCTTTATTTTGGTTGGATCACACTTTACCGTGGCCTCAATTTAGTTTTTCTTCAAAATAATAACTGATGCACAGTGAAGGGAAGGTAGATTGTAAGACCCAGCAGTTTCCCCAGGAATTGGAATTAGGGGGGGGGGGGGGTCCAAATTTTTAGGGCAGTGAGTGCATTGAGAATAGAGGAGTCGTTGCGAATTAAGGAGGTGCCTTCAAAAAACCAAGAGGGGTAGCTACAACGCTCCTAGGGGGTGTGTAGGGAAATCACTGGAACGACCTTCCCCGAGAGATGGCCCATCCCGTTCCGAAAAATTCCGAAACATTGTCCACCGCCAATTCCCGACATCAACCGCGCGATTTGCGGTATCGGTACATGTGACAAGCGCTCTAAACAGGTTCCTGCGTGTTTATCACACCATGGAACCCAAGTATTCCTGTCTGCAAGCTGTGTGTGCAATATCAGTTACTGTAACATGCAAGTTTGCAGCAGGCTACCGCACGTTTATCACACCACAGAATGAAAATCTGCTGTATCCGCGGCCTGCGGTATCACTTACCGCGCTATATGGGTGATAGTGGGTGCCCACTCGATAGTTTTCACCATTTATCTTTTAAAAATATGTGGCGTTCATACGGGATTTTGTGTACATCAAAAAAGAGGGGGGGAGCCTTCTGCAGAGAATAGTAAAGACGGTGCAACGGAGAAGGTAGCAACTTGTTTATTTATTCACTTCACATCAAAGGCCCACTAAAGGGCATTACATTCACAACACAACCATTGCTTGAAGAAAGAAACTTCATGGGATGCCTCGGGGAGTTTCCTTGACACTTGTAGAATGTAAAGCAAATACATTAAAGAGACAAGAACATTGGTGACATTCAAGCTGCATAAAACAGGAACAGCAAATGACAGAATGATAATTCTCGAAACCAATCTTAAGTAATTACATTATTAAAACAATGACAAAATAACTAATTTGCTTAAATTACAATAATCAGGTATGTAGGCCGGTTAGTTTAGAAAGCGAACAAGTTGAGGCAGGAAAAACTTTTGTACTGGAGAGAGAATCAGTAACACTTAAGACAAGAACTACAAAGGAGAAAGAAGTGTTACCGCTGAATTACTGTGTGCACATGAATTAAAAGAAGTGACTTCTTCAAACTAATGAAGCTAGAATTATAGTGCAATTGAATGCAAAGGTGCAAGCGAGCTGGACAAGAATGGCGAAAATAATCCCTGGAGAAGGTGACGGTGGGACCAGGCGGATATTTTCGGTCGCGCACCAGTCACCTAGCTGTGTTTGGAGATTTGTGTTTGTCCTTTGTCCCTCTTGTTCCCCTTCTCCAGGGATTATTTTCGTCATTAATGAAGCTACTTTAGCTGAGGAAGAACTTTAATGCAATTAAAATATAAGAGTAATTCTGTCTTCCGTTCGATTTGGGAAATTCACGTCAAGTAATCAAAATGACTGTTCTCCTCACCCACTGCAAAGCCCACGGGCCCCATGAAGAGGGCAGCAAGCATGGCACTGGCTCCCGTGATGAGGCCCCCCTTGGCGCACTGCTTCACTGTCACTCGTAGGTTTTCTTCGTCAGACAGCCGGCACAGAAAGTCGAGCAGCTCGTCTTGGTTGACCGGCATCTCCGCAGTCTGATCGACGCACACTCCCACTTGGGCCGAGGCGCTGGACTCGAGGAAAAAGTAAGGTCCCACTGGCCAGCGCGATTTGAGTCACGACGGAAAGATCAGAGTGACGAACGAGGAACTCGGACTAAATATGAGCGGAGCGGACCTTGACCAGATTACGCGATTACGTAAGCGGGGGAAACACAAAAAGCTTGTTACATTACCTGGGCCGCCTGCTAAGTTCCTGCTGTTGCGTGCGAGTGTGCGTATTGATATTTACGTCTATCGTACTCAGCCAACTCAGCTACAAAGTAATGATACCGGAAGGACACGTCTCCCAAAGAAACCGATGCAGTGTGCGCTGGCTCGGTGACTGCGTGGTGACTGTCAACAAGGTCAACAAACCTCAAACCTACTGAAAATAGCGCGCTCGAAAACCCTATTGTTTGTCTCTTTTTTTTTTTTTTTTTCCTTCCTTGTTGTGGATGTTTGATTTTTACTGGATTGGACGTGAAAGGAGACGATTTGGATTGATATCAATGTTGCCACGTTTTCCTTTGACTATGGTGCCTGAACACGTCTCCGTCTCCGCGTCCAAAAAAGTGGCCCCTCGATCTCCGCCTTATGACGTCATAAAAGTGTCATGTTGTCGCCGGTCGCGACCCTGCCGGCGTTTTAGTAGGAATGATGTCATGGCAGACGCCTGTTCTGCCTGTTCTTCTGCAGGTCACTCTCCAATGTTACAGTTCACGGAAGATTATGCAGTCAGATGTTGCGACGCCGTGACGACAGCGACACTCGTGTTTGTTTGTGCTTTTCGCCAGCATTTCTACAACCAACCGCCAGGGGAGTAGGAGGCGGACGCAACCTCTAAAATAAAATTCGAAATAAAGAGCCTTCTGTTAAATATAAGTAATAGAAGGATCAGGCTCTACAAAAATACGACCACCCTGGCAAAAGGTGTCCTCGGGCTTTCTCGAGGCCGTCGCTTCCACCGCTCGTGAAGACCACATGAGGGCGCCAGATTAACAGGGTACTGTAGCAGAGCCGTAAATACAGAGAGTTTGGCCATTCATTCGTAAGTGTAGGCGGCAAATGAGGAAACGCCATTGGCTGAAAGCGTGCTGGGCCGTTGGCTGGGCATGTTCCAGGGCGTCTGTGGCTAACCAGATACAGAGTGGAAAACAACGCACCCTCAAGACAGTCACTCAAGTCCACACACACAAAAACAGAAAGAGACAGTTACGCAGCGCTGCGTAAGTCTCTCTTTTTATTTTTTTTTATTTTTTGTGTGTGCTTGGACAAGAAATGATGAAAGAAGCACCGACCGAGCAGTCTGGTGGTATCTTACGCGCCATGGAATCGGAAAACACACGCCTTCTGTTGGAAATTGCTTTGAGGGTGTTCTCAGTGCTTGAGGAGCTAAACATATACCTACAAGGGCGTTCGTTGACAGTTCAGGGAATGCTCCAGGTGGTGGAGTCTGCTTGTCTGCCTAGAGCACTATATAGCTCCTACGGAGCAGAGTAGCGCAATCCTTTGAACCCCGTGTTTTGCCGACAACATGGCCGACAGAGCGGCTCGGCGCGAGTCACGTGGTACTCAGGGTTCCAGGAGGCGGCCCGCCCTATGGGAGAATACATGGAGATCGACATAACACGGCTGATTAAAAAACTAACGGCGAGTTCACATTTTTCAAAACTAGCCTGTCGTGAAGTTAGTAAAGCGCTAAACACTTTATCAAAGTTTTAATAATATCGGATGCGTGTGCAAATTTTGAGAAGGCAATTTCCAAGGCAATGGCGTTTGAAGCAGACGATTTTTGCTCGCAGCGGAGATGGGCCTTTCGGGTTGGCCGGAGCGGGTCACGTGAATGGTGTGACGTCGCCGTGTCGTCTGCTGCATGATGCCACTCAGGCAATTTTTAAAAAAAAGTTACGTCCTTGTATGGCACAAAACGTATCGCATATTATTCTAAAATGTTTCATTATTATGTCAAAAATGATTTCCATTCCGCACATCCCCACAAAACTGAAGAAACAACGATTTTCTCACGTTTACCATGCATTTCTGACCGCAGTTGGAACCTCCGGGCGTTCGGCGCTAGTCGCCGAGAGACGGCGTTCTAGATTGCGCTACTCTGCTCCGAAGGAGCTATATAGTGCTCTATGTCTGCCAAGCGCGAGTTGCGCCATCTGCGGTCTGAAGAAATTTCTTCAGACCGCAGAAATTCCTTCAGACTTCAGATCAGTTCATCCAACATTAATGTTGGATGAACTGATTGAACAGGTCGCCAAAGCTGCTGAGGATGACAGTAGCTGCGTTCGATTTACTTTACACCTCCTGCACCACTGCAGAAAAATGTGTAGTGCAGTCTACGTCCGGTATGTGTATACGACCGAAAGTGCGCAGCCGCGCCGCAACGCCGCCGCCGCCGCCTGCTTCGTCGCTCTGCGCCGCCGCCGGAGAATCCAGAGCCAGCACGCCGCCGCCGCGCAATAATTGCGGCGCGCCGCCGGCAAAGTGCTTTTTTTTTTTTTTTTTTTTTGGGGGGGGGGGGGGGGGGATGTGTGCGTAATATTGGTGTTTTTTTTTTTTGTTTTTTTTTTTTGTATGAGTTTTACGTACTATACTATGCATCAGAAATGAATAAATATGCTGGTTTCTGTATGCTTTTTCCTACTTTTACAAACGGAGACACGAAACGATTACAAAACGGACAGAAGAACAAGTCTCAAACACCTTGTCTAGTTATTTGAACAACGAACGCCGGCCTACGGATCCCCATGTGGCGGGTTCGAACCCCGGCCGAGGTGCCCGCAATCTGAGAGAGGCTTATTGCGGCGCCGTGTAAACCGAGCTTTCGGTTGCACGTCAGAAGATCCCCAGGTAGTCTAAATTAATCCTCAGTCCTCCGCAGGGGCGTGCCGGATGCCCGTCGTTGGTTCGGCACGCAAAACTCCCAAATTTGAAATTTGAATTCATATATATACCTCAAGCCCCTCACCACTAAAAAAGAAACACCTCCTCTTCACTAGGTCACCGAAAGCCGGACACGCAGACAGGTCCAAATGATTCAGAATTCAGACAGATCCAAATGATTCACGCCAACCAGCCAGCCTGACGACCTCGCTTAAGGGCTGACCAGCAGCATGCGATAACAGGCAACTTCAGCTCCAGCCTCCAGCAGAGCCCTTACTAATCTCGGAAAACCCCTTAGAGACACAAAAAACCCATCATTTCACTGTCCAATGCCAAAAGGACGGCACGCATGGTCTCCCTCAGAGCTCTCCTACCACTTTCTTTCTTTTTGTGCAAAACCTCGGTATCCCTGACAGTCATTACAGTCTACAACATCTGTAGCAATTTCCAAATTCTGAGCCTTATATTGTACTGCCCTTTTATGTTCCAAGAGCCTTTTACTTATGCAACGACCAGTTAGCCCAGCATAGGAGAACACACATCGCAACGGAATGTCGTACACCATTTCTAGCTTAAGTTACATTTGGGTTTTTTTATGTGTTTTCTGGCACCCCTGAGGACCACCCGAAAAGGGGTTTAACCTCGCTAATTTGAGCTTAGCTTTGAAAACTAAATTCAGACCGAACCTCTCTGCCACTGATATAAAGTTATGAGAGATTCCAAGGTAGTAGGGCACACACACAACATTCTTTACAACCGTTTCTTCGACAGGAGCCTGAATAAACGTTCTTAACACCTTGAGCACAACTCTAACCATCACACATCCTGGTGTAATTGTTAGAATGGTTGTGAACGAAAATGGATCTCGGCAGAAGATGTTGCCGGTTTTTATCCAGTACTTCGTGACAGGAGTGGAGCTGAGCAGTCCATTGTCACTCACAAACTCTGAGCAATATCGATTGAAATATTGAATCCGCATCGTGGGAGAAGGTGTGACGGGACAACTGTAGACATCAAGGGATAAGTCGGACCTGTGGATAAGGGTCAGGAGGTGGTGTGATGATAATCTAGTGAAGTTTCAGTCTGCCTCTGGGATTGATGTAGATAGTTTTATGAGCCTTATGGAGTTTTATTCAGAGTCCACTGTCGTAGATTTTGATGGTTCTCTTTATATTCAAAAAGAGGGAGTGTGTAGCGGGTCGTGAATTGCTTCAATGTTGTCAGAGATTTTTTTTTTTTTTTTTAGCGAGATTGATGTTCACGTTGACACAGTTGTGCGGTCCTTGTCGAGACCGTGCGGTCGCAACAGTCAAATCTACAATAACCGAATTCAGTACTTAGACCTCCTGTTGCACACGAAAGAGCTCCTGTGCTGGGGGTACGCCAAGGAATCAGCAAAGCCTCCTTTGGCAGTTGACAGCTAAAATAGTTAAGAGTGGTGTGATTGCGTCTGTGATGGAAAACGTCCGTAAAAAATCCCGTATGCCTTGGGTTGGAGAGGCAGTTGAGCTGCAAAAGACGCGTCTTTTGGATGCGGGGCATCATCAGGATGTAATTGTTAGAGTTGTGCTCAAGGTGCCAGGAAGGTTTAATCCGGCTCCCGTGGAAAAACCGGTTCTGAAAAATGTGTGTGTGCCTTACTACCATGGAATCTCTCATAACTTTATATCAGTGGCAAAAAGTTCGGTGTAAATTTAGTTTTCAAAGCTCAGCACAAATTAGAAAGGTTAACCTCCTTTCTGGTGGTCCTCAGGGGTGCCATAAAAAAAACATAAGAACCTGCAGATGTAACTTGTCAGGCAGGAGCGGTGTACGGGTAGGCGCTCTGCGTAAGGGTTTTTCACCTATCTGCCTAGCCCCGCACACCACCACATGTGCCCATTCCAGTATGTGCAAATAAAATTATTATTATTATTATTATTATTTCGTCGAAACTCGTTTCCTGGCATTACGTGTCGTGAACAACTTTTCATGGACACGTTTCACGTACACGCGTTTCGTCGACACGGTCGGTTCATCGACACTCGTTATGCGAATTGCACGCTGTAGGAACATGTCGTCACGCGTGTATCATTAGGGCTTTCAGTGACCTAGTGGAGTGTTTGTTTCTTGGTGGTGAGGGCGTTGACGTATATATAAGAGCGTTCGTTGTTCAAATAAACTATACACGTTTTCTCAAGAAAAAAACAACTTTTGCGCATTGTTCATACCCGACGCGAAGTCTTACGAGATTTGGTTGCCTGATTAAAAAGCGATGATTTGGAACGTGTACGTCTTGATAAAATAACATATATCTATTCTAGAGTCCGCCTATATATATATGATATATCTTAATTCTCCACATAAAGGTGGAAATTAGTAATGGTTCGCGAGGGGTCAGACTTTTTTTTTTTACTAGGGTTCTTGACGCCTTTTATTTATTTATTTTTTTTATTTTTATTTTTTTTTTTTTTTGCTTCGCGTCTTTGGTTATTATGGGAGTTCTTCAGCAGCTCGCCTGCGTTTTTACCCTTTTTTCAATGTAGAAGTAAAGTGTTATAATGGAATGAACGGTTTTGTAGACTGTAAAACGATTTAATGAAAACTTTGTTAAATAATTTGATACTCTTAAGAGGGCTATATTCGCGTCCGTTTTCGTTCCTGTCACTCGTGTTTCTAGGGGTCCCCCTTTCTCGTTCCCACGCCGGGATCCTGCAGCATCGAGGGTCAAAGTCCAGCTATCACATCCGGTCGAGGGGGAGGCTCTCCTTAGGGGTCTTCGCCGCCAGCATATTCGCTTACACACCCGAGCTCAAATTCTTTGCGTCCTTGCAAATGTTGTTTGTCGTGATCCTCGGTTATAGAGGATCTGCCGCGGTGGAAGGCGAGTCAGTTGCGTAGCGGTGATTCACTTGAAAGGTGGTTGTCTGGAAATAGTCTAGCCAATGGTCGATGTCGCCGGTGACGAATTCTTTCGCAGACATGGAAGGATTTTTTCGTCGGCGCGTTCGACATAGTTTCGGGAGCCAGCGAAACCCTTTTTTCGCGCCACGCCATCGCCAATCCGTCGACACGCCGCCGCCGGAGGTACAAACACCGGCGCGCCGCCACCGGTGATTTCCGACCGGCGCACAGGTCTGCCGTCAGCACCGTCAGGTACGAGAAAGAGAGCACGGAGCACCAGTGACCTTCCAGTTGAAGCTAGAGCCTATTTTCGAAAGGAGCGGCCATGCAAAGGAAAAAGAACATTTTTTTTAAACAGCTTAGATGGAAAAAGGATGTCATAAAACGATTTTACAACGAATAAAAAAAAATTTAGAGCTATATATAGTTGGCGCCGAGGGAGCCGCCGCTGGTCACGTGGCGGGCCCGCGCGCCGCCGCGCTACGTCGCCGCCGCGCTACGTCGCCGCCGCCTCAAAGTCGTGCTGCCGCCGCACGTTGTGCGAACGCCGCTTCAACGCGTTTCTCCACGCCGCCGTCGCCGCACAAGTTTGTCTGCTCCGGGGCGCCGCCGCCGTCGTCTGCTCGCGCTTTTTCAGGAGTCTCCTTTGGGCTCTAAAAGGTACCTATTAATCTTAGTTTTTTGTTATACTTCAAACAAAGATGAATAAGTTACTTTTCGACGCCATACGAAGCTTCCGAAAGAGCGCAAGCACCACGTGTTAAATAAGGGCCAGTCACGTGATGAATAAGGGCCACTTTTCCGCGGCGCCGGCGGGCGCCTACAAATTCGTATAGTGCCGTAAATAGAGCTCCGAATTTTTTTCTTCCTTGTAATATTGTTTTATGACATCCTTTTTCCATCTAAGCTCTTTAAAAAAAATTTTCCTTTGCATGCGTCCTTTAAATCTACCGCAGAAATCCGTTTGTACAGCGTTGGCCACAGATGGTGTTTTTCTGTTTTTTTTTTGGTGAAATTTGCAAAGAGCGAACTTACCTGAGGAAAAATTAAAGAAAAAGGCTTAGCTCCTGTGAAAATGCCGCTAAGTCACCGGTCTTCAAACAATACGGCGCCGTTTTACACGGTAGACAAGAGATGGCGCTAGCGGTCGCGACGCCAACTGCCGCCAATTAACGAGCATACGGCGCCGAGAGCCGGCGTCTTTAGCAGACTATCTTATCGACTCAAAAGCGGCGCGAGCTTTTCTGATATCAGTTGCCAATTCATTATCATCCTTACTAATAAAACATACTGCATAGACACATACCGAATTTTGCGGTCGATTTTAAGAGAAAGACCCAAAGATCATTCTACCTCGCTAAAAATAGTCCCTAGAAGAAAAAAACAAAAACAATGCAGGAGCATTATTGTTTCAGGAAAGCTTGTTCTTATTTGGCAAGAAAATAGTGGAAAACCCAAAACGTACAAGCCACAAGTAAAAGCCTCCTCGACAAGTTAAACATGGCGTGTGCGTGCAGTTCTTGTTTTTCTTGACAGCTAGAAATTTGTGGTTCGGACTCCGAAGCACGCAGTTACGGGCTAAAAGTGAACCCAGTGGCGCACTCGCGTTATACCACTGCGATAATCGTTGCAGCGAATTATCGCTTGCAATATAAATACGATGGAAAAGAATACGACATAGGTAACTTTCAGCATCTTCCGACTCGAAGTTCTTTCTACAAAGGTAAGCAAAGGTACCACCCAGACGGTTTTCAATTAATGATTGCTTTCATGATGCAACATGAATGCGCAAATTGCTAGTCGAATGCGGTTTAGAATTTTGCGGATGCAATAATCAAACTTGGCCAAAAAACAAAAATTACGAGTTGCGACACTAAACAGTAAACGCGGACCTATTTCTGCTCACATTGCAATCCTGACTAGATCAAAAGGATGCTATAAAAGAACAAAATATGGAACTCTCTCGCGGAAATGGAGCATGCTGGTAAAGTTACGGTGTTAGAGAATTACATAAATGAGGAGCACAGTACCCTGTCCTCGTCATTCATGTGATTCTCCTCAAACACCGTACAATATGCAAGGAAATATCCGAAATTCTAGTGTAGGAATTGCTGTCAATCAGAAAAAGGCAAAAAGCAGTATTGTTTGGTTTCTGTTGATACCTGAATTTCGGCAAAATTGCACGGACATATTATTTCTCAGAATTGAAGCCTCTTTCACAAATCATTTCATATAGACCAACACGCGGCTCTGACGTCACGCAGCTGCGGTGGCGCTGTCGACGGCACTGCGCATGCGCAGACGCTTCACACGAATCTGGTTTCTGCGCACGCGCAGAAACCAGATTCGTGTGAAGTGAAGCGTCTGCGCGGGCTTGTTTGTGAACAGCGTATCGGTCTATATTCTTAAATTTTAGAATCGGAAAAAAAAAAAAGGCACTGAGGAAGTTTATAAGCTGTCAAGAGACCCTCATGCTTTTCTATACATTTTATTGAAGTGCTCACAATAGCTGCATGATGTAACAATGCAACATAAATACATAGTCAATACAGTGCGCACCTCATTTTTTGCACAACAAGTATTATTTGCCTCTAAATGAAACTGATAAATTGTTCAACAAAAATAATGATTTGCTTACAGGTCATCAGTCACAACACTTATGAACCTACACCGAACACGAATTGGGCTTCACATAAACAAACATTAACCTCTGGTGTGATTGTTCTCACATACTTTTTAAGGACGACTCCCAAAACAGTGAACCTTTCTTAGTACACAACGAAGTTAAAAACTTATGTTTTTTCCTACAGTTTTGTTCCAGGGATATGAAAATAAGTAAACAATAGGCCTCCATGGGCCCATAACAAACAAAGGATGGGTAACAAAATGTGAATAGACACTGAAGAGGACACAAAACTGAATGTGTCAATCAGAAGTCACCTTAGTTAGAAACGTTGGCAGTGCACATCAAGATGAGGCTGCATTAAAGCATAATATATAAAGTAAATAAAAAAGACCAAAGCAACTCTAGGCTAAGTTTCAGCCTCAACAATGCTCCTAGCAATGTAAGGCGACTGGTTCGATAGGCTTGCAGTGCACAAAGTTTTGCATCAAAAAGCAGGTTACTTGTCGGCATCATCTACTGCTTGGGGGCATATTCATTTTGGGATTATCCTCCAGGCAAGCCTTTCTCCTTCTCTGAAATTCCCTTACAAAAAAGAAAATAAAAATCATGAGCACGAGTAAAAAATGCCCAAACAACAAAACGAGTGCTCATTAGCAATATGCGTCCAAGTGAAAGCGGACAGCAGTGCTGCGAATCACACTGAAAAGAATCCCTGAGGAATCTCAGTAGGTGAAAAGAGGGGCATCAAAAAACTCCAGCACCACTGAAATCTCAGCAGTGTACTGCATACTTCTCACACAAGTTATAAATATACCTGCAGTGCTGTTTGAATAATTATTCTTATATGTTCAAAAAAAACTTTGGAGCAACAGATTTGTATTCGACTTGACTTTAAATCTCGACAAATGTCCTTTTCGAGTAATGCCCTCCAGCTGTGGAGCACCACCCTGCCACATGAAGTTGTAAATCAGCGATCGGAGGAACCTCCAATGACTATGCCAACAATATACACGAGAAAAGAGATTATCTGATGGCAGAGCTGTCTGCCAACAACGCAACTCCCATCCCCAATATTTTCTGTATCTTTGCATCCCAACAACCAGATTCAGGTACTCTGACCAGTTTACAGTCTGAAAGAATCCACGACATTTTCAAAAGCCGAAACCAATCAGCTCCACAAAAGAAAATGCACCAAGACGAATGAGAAAAAGGACGAGAAGCTCGCCAGAAACAACCACATCCGACTAGGATGGAGGGAGCCACCAACCAACCCACGACGACAACAGGAAGGTACACCCAAAGCGCAGCCCAATTCTCTCGGCAGCCCAAGGAAACGAGAGAGGACAGACAACAAAGCAGCCCCGACAACGTTTCACCCGCGCATTGCACCCTGGGGCAGTATTGCGGAAAACACAAAACAGACTTCTCGATTTTTGTTGCGCTATGGACGGCGGGTGCAAGCCAGAGCGCCAGCTGCGGGATGGGCAGGTTGCTTAGGCACTGCCGCCGGCACCCTTCAGGAAGTTGCTCAAGAAGCTCTTGATGGCATTGGTGACGAGAGACTTGACCATGGCGTTCTCGGTGAGGAGCTTCATCAGGGCGCCGGGGTCCTTAAAGTCCCCAAAGTTTTTCAGGGTGTTCTGGATGGTGTCGGCCAGGTTGTCCTTCTCCTTCTCCGGGAGCTCGCGGATGACGTCAGCAGCGGGGCGCGTCTCGGCAGCGCTCTCCTTGCCACCAGACTCCTTGGCGCCATCCTTGGAGTCCTTGGAGCCACCCCCGAACATGCTGCCTGCAAGCAAGGAGGAGAGCATGAGGGACACCCCACTCAGCTGAGGAGTCGAGGACGCTTGATATGCAGCAGGAACCCGACGTGAACCAGCTTTAATTTTATAAAACCATCTTCATAGAATAAAGAATCAAAGCAGAGTAGAAAGCAGACTATACACAAATCATGTATGCATGAAAACTGGTGCTACTGCAGCTTAATCCGTAAGAGAAATTGCACAATCGTGCACCCACACAAAAACTGAAGACATATAGGAATGGGATAAGACAAACATTTTCCAAGAAGCAACATTTATTTGAAACTGAGTGAACTGAAGTCTCCAATTCAGTTTTTAATGCCCAGTCAGCGAATAAGTGTGGGGCGAATCGTATTCATGCTCTATGTGACCCAAAGATAATTGATACAGCGGCGGTGTTCTTCAGCGAAATCAGGAGTAACGAAAAGAAACAATCCTTGCCACTCATGGAGTGAAAAGATCTACGTTCTTAACCCGTGAATGTTAATGAGGGCTACGACAAGTGGCTATAACCTTTGGCACTAGATGGAAACGGGACAGATGGCACATTTAAAAAAAAAAACCATTTTACTGAAATGCTTCAGTCCCAGCTTTTGATTAACTTCATTTGTTTACCTCCCACATGTAATCTTTCCTACATTTCTGGCCAGCAAAATCGCACCTCATAAAATTCAACACTATCCCTCAGAAAAAAATACAAATTGTTGCCGGCAAAGTCGTAGGGCCGGCGACGCCCAGGTGACATCGCAGAGTTGCCCGTGAGGCATGGCCGCCCTTCGCGAGAACCCATCTTCCGGGAATGAAGAAGGAAGGCGGCAGAAATCTTGCCATCCGGGCGACGTCCCGCATGCCAAAGACGCGACGTAGCCGAACGCTACTCCGCCATGCGCACGATGACGTCACCCCGGCAGTGGCTGGCCAGGTTGCGCAACTGCGCGACTTTAGAGGCTTTTTCTGGAAGCGGCTGTGTCACGCAGCGTCCCCGCGGCTCAAGGCAACAACGCCTCTCAAGGCCACCGTTGTCTTCCTCCCTTTTTTTTCTTTTTTTCAAGTTTAGGAACGTGCTGCGCGTGCTGCTGGGGCCGACGATGGGTGCAATGGGATGCTGCAACGTGATGCGCAATACTAAAGTCTGAATCACCGTAATGGGGCGACTAAAGCGACGAAAATGGCCGGAACTCGGTTATGCAACAACTGCCGCAAGGCAAGGTTCCGGCAAGACAGGCTCAGTAAAAACCACTAACTTCACTCCAAATGCGGGAGAAAAAAAAAGAAAAAAGGTGCAACCACGTGGTGATGACCGCGCCCCAGACTGGCATCCCGATTACGTCTCGTGTGCGCACGTGGCAATATATCCGGCCCAGAGTACGCAATGAGAGCAGTGGTACGGAACAATTCCAACGGCACGCGCGCTGAGGCGACAATCCAATTAACAGCGGCTAGACAGACAGGATGACGGACAGCTGCCTAAAAGTGACAAAGGCGGCAGCTGTCAAGTCGTAACAGCGGAACGGAGCTACGACACTCGTCGTCCTAATGCGGGGCCACGGAGCACAAAAAGTGCTCCCGTGGCCCCGGCGCACATATAACGCGATGGCGTCGGAAGGGGCATCATAGCGCCACATCGCGATCCTCGCTAAACTTTCGTAGACTCCGCGAGAAGCTGCACGGTTAAATCGTCAAACCGAGGCAAACCGCGAAGGAAAGCATCCGAGTGCGCGTGTGACGTTCGACACGAACCAGCGCTTCTTCGCCAACTGAAGCGGGGGGCCGCTTAGGGCGTGTCCCGTCCCGAACATGCCCGATCGAGAGTCCGGATCATCGACTGATAATCGGATCGACCCGCTGAACTACGCCCGAGATTACAACGAGCACGAATCGTTTCCGAGTGGCACATAGATTCGAACGACCAAACCAAAGCAACACGTAATCAAGGGTTCCAAGGTCACAGCGCGTTATCCGAAACATTCTTACTACGCCGTGCGCCGAAGGCGTGCAGCGTAAATAAACTCTTCAAAAGTGTCGATAATTTGTAACTAATTGCTTTACACAAGATAGGAAACGCGTAGAAGATAGCAAGAAGGGAGACCAAAAGCACACACACACACCGTGCACCGGCACAAAACAGAGGATACGTACCGAAGCCGCCGAGTTTGTTGAGCACCTTGGATCCTGCGCTCTTGGCGAGGTTCTTCTTGGAGTCGTCGTCGCCCGAAACGGCTACTTTAATGTTTTCGTCCGTGCATAACTGGCAAAGGATGTCCTCCAACTCCTTCGTGCTCAGTTTGTCGAGGTGAGCCATGGCTACTGGATATTGGCGTCAAAAGGGATGCGTTCACGTCCCGGCTGTGCGACAGGGGCCTAACGACAGCTACCGCGCGCCAGACAGAGGAGAGGAGTGAGTGGCGAGCAGAAGCCAGAGGCAACGCGCGGGCCCAGGGGGAGAGGAGGTTCGCCAATCAATTGTCCTTGACACAAAAACTGCGCCAATGCGGCAGCAGAGGCGCCTGCCAGGGGCCCCCGGAAAAAGCTCGCTGGGCCAGCGCGGCTCGCCTGCTTTTTTCCTTTGCTTTTTAATACTCGGGCCGCGGGCAGAGAGCGCAGAAGTCGCTCCAACATTCGAAAACATTATTTACACGTGAAAATACGGATTATTAGAATAGAAGTTTGATTTTCCGATACCCAATGAAGCAATGACATCACATCCGCTCCGCCATCAACTTCCGGTGATGGATCGAGTTTGTCTTTTTCTGCTGGTTGCATCATTTTCTGCGTTTTCTTCGCTGTTTTGTTTCCGGCCGCCGCCATGAGTGAGCGTGAATTATCACGTGACTCCCGATCAGCTGGTTGTCGCTGATTGGCCGAAAGAACAGGCCGGCAACCAATAGTGTCGCTTCTCCTTGACAACTGGCGTGCGCTCGGCAACAACAAACGTAAAAAAAATATCGTCGCCTCAGCTGTGCTGCTACGGGCGGTGTTGTTGTTGGCTGGCCGGCCGTTGGGAACAAGAGAACCTTGTCGCGTTATTTTGCGTTCGATTCGCGTTCCTTAAATGCTCTTTGCGTGCCACTGCTGACCAGCGTACAACCAGCTACGAACCTTGGAAATTGGCCCTACCGCACCTCCACTTGGCCGTTGGTGAGTTGCGGGTTTTTGTCTTCGCGAAGCTCGAAGATTTGGCTTCTCGGGGCTCGGCGTCTCGACCGTAGGTTTCGGCCCCTTAGCCTCGGGCTCGAATAACGTACTCCGTCTCCCCGCACGATCCCTTCGCTTTCGGCGATTCGACTCGCGTTGGGAACGTTGTGTGGTGTTTCGAAAACGACCCCCGTGAATGTGGGAGACGAAAAAAAAAAAAAAAAAAAATCAACAAAAGACTCTTTTTTGCAAAATATAATCGTAGGTAGTCTTTTTTTTTTTTTTCTTTTTAAGCGAAACATTTTTTTGTCTTTCGGTTTTCCGGATTATTGTTTCCCCTGCAAATGCAGCAACGCAGCGTAAAGATTTCGTTGCGGAGTCGGTTCTTCTCCAGCGTTCGGATTAGCCTACTCGCTCTGGGCACTCTGGGTAGCCGTTCGTCTGCGCGAGAGTCACTGATGAAAGGCGCACCTTGGTGTTCATCTCGGCATTGTTTCTTCCCTGACTTCGCATGTGAGTCTCCTGGCCCCTCCTCTAAAACTATCAAGTGTTTTCTTTTCTTCCTTTTTTTTTTTTTTTTTTTTTTCATGCACGGACACGATCCGCGAGGCCTCTGGGCTTCACCAAGCCAAGGCGCTGCTGCTTCATGTCGTTACATGTCTGTATCAGGTCAGAGCTTCGTAGAGAGAGGCCTCGGAACGAAATCTCTCATCTTTTGCCCGTGTTGTGAGCCTATGTGGTGGTTGCGTGTAACATGTAAGCGCATAATGTCTCCAGAATGCTTTCGTCACTCTCTGCGACCTTGGACGCGTATAATTGGCGGAACGTGGTGGTTGCTTCATTTACATACACGCAGGCGACTCGAAGGTGTCGCGCACTGTGCGGGTATTTATGTATACTCTCGCGTCACTGTTACCGTGCGCTGGCCTCTTGCGTCGGCACGGATCACGTCCTACACAGTGGCACGGATGCAGGTTTCGCTTGACGACCGACGAGAGAATCAGCGCGACGGCGTTCCGCGAACGCTCGCGTTTCACGAACGCTCGCGTTTCAGTGCCCTTCGATCGCACACCAACTCATATCGTTCCTGACCCTCCCGGAGGACGAGGGCGTGGGGATTTCCATCTGGCAGTTGATCACTATAATAATAGAAGCCATTTTGCGAACGTTTTCTGCTCAACCTCGCAACCCCCGGTTCGAAGGGAATCCGTTCTCGGTCAACGCCTGTCGGAGGCCTGCGCCTCTCCGGGCTCCCCTCCGTCAGCCGTGTTGTGTTATCGACTCCGCGAGGACGGCTCCCTTTGTTGTGGTATTACGTCATTCCCGGGATGTCGCGTTGGTATGCTCTGAACGAGCGCGCTTGCCCCGCCAAAATGCGGGCAGTGCCATTTCCGAGCCAGGCCAGCTATTTTCGGGGTTCGCGCGTGGCCCGTTGCCGCTGCACTGATGCCACCGACTCGACTGGGATCCCGCGGTGCCCTTGACTATTCATGACCGCCTTCGTCATTGGGGCGGTCGTCGGTGTCAGGAAGGTCACACCCTCTGCCGCCTCGTTTTGCTCAATGGTCTCGTCCCGTGTCCGCCTGGTGCTTGGCGGGCACGCTTAGTGATGCAGCACGAAAGCGTGTATCGAGGAGTAACATACACAGTGGCTCGCTCTGACGTTTCAAGGGCTCGAGGTATGTCAGCTGCATTTCGATTCCTGCTCAGGTGGAGACACTTTCCCTTTTTTGTGATTGTGCACTTGCGTGCAAAACAGTTTTTGTGACGCCACCAGGACTGTCGCTCGGTGATGCGGTCTGGTGCATAAGGTCAGAAGTTCAGTCAAGTTTAGATATCAGAGCCGGCCAGCCTGGACAAGTTGGCTGAGGCTGAGATACATCTGCATGCTCACCGAAGGTGGGAATATGGGCTGGACGTCTTCCGAGGGCACAGAGGCGACTAGTAAATTAAATCTTGCTCAAGGACTAACCGAAATGGAGAATGCGCGGTGTGGTAGGTAAAAGAATACGAGATAAGTTTGATTCCCAAAGGCATACGAACAGAACCTCAGTAGAAATGGGAGTGACATAGGCCGAAAGAGAGAGAAATGTAAGCGTACGTATGTGGTCATTTGTGGACGTGGAGAACCCTCTCCGGCCACAGCACAAGTGCTGAGATTCGGAACCAAGGCAATGGACCTTTTCCGAGAAGCGTTCTGCGCACGCGCGAGCGCCCGATGCCAAGCGGCGGAAGTCGGAACGAAAAATCGAGGAAATTCGGAAGGAGGCTGTATATCAGCGAGAAGAACACGTAACTGCAGCATATATATAATTGTGTTACACACAAAAAAAAAAAAAAAGAAAGTCGACGCAAAGGAAAACACGACGTTTGGGTGGACGCCACGGATGCCCCTCTTTCAACTCATGTTGGGCAGGCGCCGCTGCTCAGAGAGCGAAGAAACTGGTAGCGTAGCTCCCATTATCGATTGGTAGCGCAGGTAGGTTACTTCCTCGATTTTTAGTTAATGCAGCCACCGCCTGGTGCCGTCGGTATGTGGAAAAGGTCCATTAGGGTAACTGAGGAAAAGGACACCCTGTGTCGTATATGCCAAAGCGCGGTTGAGCTAGATAACGTGTTTGAAAATGCGCAGGCCGTAAAGGGGCGAGCTACGTGGTTAGAACGCCCTGATCCGGCGCTTGATCCACGTCTAAATTGCATCTCCAGGGTTTATTTTCGTCATGCTGTTTACACTCTCGGAAGAACCTGCATGCATTCTAGGCCGCAGTGCTGCCGCAGTCCGAGGGCGGGCGATATTGCAACTTAAAGGCGAAGGAATAAACCTCAATGGTTTTTTTTTTTTTTTTTCTTTCCCTTCTAGCAAAGATTGCATTATCATTGGAGCGGGATACATTTCACCCTCCCAACTGGTTAAGCCACGATTGGCTGTCATCGCCGACCGGAAGGTCAGTGATTGGCGTTCCTAGCGCATTGTGGGGCTGTACACTTGCAGGCATATTTGAGGGTATAGAATAGATCGATCATCGCCTCTTTACGAATCCTTGTTTTGGGTTGCATTTTGCAGAATTTTCCTTCGTTAAACCTGCGGTAACGAGACTCCATTTCCTTCGGTAGGGTAGTCATTAATCGACCAATTTCTCTGGCGGAAAAAAAAAAAAATATCGCTTGTTTGACTGGTTGAGAGTTGACTGTTGCCAAACTGTTTTCGAAACTTCCCTAAAGTTAGCTCGCTGAGCGAGTCCGCTCTCCTATGTGAGCGCTCTCCCCGTGTGTCTGAAGGCAGATTGCCAAGGGTGACGTGTTAGTGATGTTCGTATTTTGTAGAGCGAAGCCCCTCTTGCTTCTGCAGATTGCAAGAGGGTACACATATTTGGCACGCTGCCGTGCGCTAAAAGCTGGACGAAATTGTGTTCGCGGCAATCATTTTGGCGATTGCAGTATACTGGTTCTCTACTGTGAATTGCTTCACCTTTCTGCTGCTGCACACTACGCTGATTTAGTACAAACCATAATGTTTAAAGAGGCGTAGGGAACGCGGAGATCAAACCAAGCAGATTTTTTACTAGGTGAATATTTTCATTCTTTGCCTGGTGACTCGGGGCAGAAATGGTAATGCACCCGGTTTCACTGCGGTGCCTCTGTGATACGAATCCGAATTTTTTCGAGCTTGTAAACCGAATTATTTGGTATACATCTGGTATTGGGGGCTTTTCTGGCCTTTTAAACACGCGAGTGGCGGCACACGCATAATTACCCATCTTTCCCCACACCATGCATTGCTGACAATTCCCGTACAACGATGCGCACTTTTTTTTTTTTCGAAACTTTTGCACGAAAGTGTATATTTAATTTTTAACCTTGGTGGTTGCTGTATCACGTAAACGCCATTGTTTCGAACTCGAGGCTGGTGCTACTGAATGTTCCCAAAGTACACTCTAAATAAAGCCCGTGCGTCTACTTTCCCGCACAACACTCGGGGAGCCAATCACCGCAACTTACGGAGGCAGCTCAGCGAATGACGATGCCGAAACATATGTTTAGTCCAAAAAACGCAGTTCAAAGTTGTGACATTAAGCAATGCAAAACGTTACGCTTGCATTGCTTAATGTCGCAACTCAGACGGCGTTTGTTGGTCTAACAAATGTTTCGGCATCGTCATTCTTGGAGCTGCATGCCTCCGTAAGGTGCGGTGATTGGCTCTCCGAGTGTTGTTCAAAAAAGTAGACGCACGTTTTTTTTTTTGTTTTTTTGTTTTTTTTCAGAGTTTACCGCATTCACTTAAAAGGCTTGTGGGTTTACATTTTTCGCGGAGCACTCGGAGAGCCAATCACTGCGATTTACGGGGGAGTTGTGCGAACGACGTGGCCAATACCTTTCAACCTGAAAATGAAGTTTTCGGCGTGACGCTGGCTGCGTTTACATTAATGCGACTGAAAAAAAAAAAAATTAATTGAGAGATCTCTAATCACGCGGACTCAATCTCCCTGTCATTCGAGTTGTTACATTTCGATTCGATGGGTACCACGGACGCATCCATCGAGACTTTTTCTGCTTCTTCACTCGCCGAGCCCCCTCCGTGGATCGTGCATAGTGATTGGCCCTCTGTGCACTCTGCGGGGAAAGTGGACGCGCGAGAGCATATTTTAAAGGTTACTGTCCTTTGACGTCTGCTTGAACTGGGGAAACCAGCCGATCGAGTTTCCTGATTGACGGATGTCGGGCCATCTTGAAGCCCGTTTGCACTCTGGCGAGCAGGCTTTGCCAGGTTCGCATGATTGGATTCGATTGTTTAGGGTCGCCAGTTAGTAGGCATCTATGTAAGCAACGCGGTAATAAATTTAAAAAAAAATTAAAAATCGGGGGGGGGGGGGGGGGGGGGGGGTTTAATAGTGCCTTTGAGCACGACGCGTTGGAGGCATGGAGCCCTTTCAATCATGTCTCCGGCGGATATAATATAAAAATAAAAGTTGCTTCATCTCAAAACGAAAACGTTCTTATTCTCA